ATGAAACCTGGCAGCCAATTGCACACAGCAGCGTCCCACAAACAGTCATGGATTGAGTGACCAGATTATTATTCTTTTATTACTTTTTTTTAAAGGGATTATTATCCCTGGAAAAGTGATCCGCCAATCGACTAACGAGCGGGTTCCTACTTACTGCTGATATCAGAGGCGTGTGTGTGTCTGTGTGTGTGTCTGTGTGTGGGGTCTGTGTGTGTGTAGTAAGGAAACTTGCCCAACTTTTCGCCCTGACCTGACCCGTCGGGAATCGAACCCAGGATCTCTCACTTGCGAGGCGAGTGTTCTAACCACTGAGCTACAGGGTTCCATGGCTTAGCTGAAGGCTCTCCACTGCCCCCCTCCCCCCTACCCTCCCCCCTACCCTCCCCCCTACCCCAGCTCGCCAGGCTCCCCTGGCACCATCCTTCCCACCCCCATCACCAGTCGATGTTGGGCTTCCACATGTGTCATACACCCGGCTAAAAAAGTCACGGATTTACTATAATTGAGTATTATGTACGTGATCACAGCCACCGATTTACGCACAGCAAAGTCCTGCAAACAGTCATAAGGTCAATGATTAATTTTTCTTATCTGGAGGATTGTCGGCCAGGACACAGAGAGAGAGAGAGAGAGAGAGAGAGAGAGAGAGAAACTCTCTTCTCTTTTCCTCCCCAGTCAGCGCTGAACGGGGTACAAATGGGGAGTGAGTGAGGTTTAACGTCTATGTCCAAAAAGAACTCAAAACCACAAATTTCTGACTCGGAGGCGAGAGAGAGAGAGAGGGAGGGAAGGAGCGGCTGAGCTGAGTGGAGACCAGGACAAAAACATTGACAACACAGATGCAAAATTATACCCAAGGACGTTGTGCAATGGAGCTCGGCTACTGTCTCCCCCAGTGAGGGATATGACCAGGGTCTGGGGTAAATTTCCACACAAGGGGATTCCCATTGACAGAGCGAGTGACTAACCTGACAGTCGGGGGGGGTGGGGGGGGAGAGTGGGGGCTGGGTGGGGGGTGGGGGCGCGGGGAACCCTGTCTGTCTTCACTCCACTTCCTCGTTTCCTGTCTTGACTATTATCATAGTAACATGTCTTCCTGTTGTTGTCATAAACCTTCTGGGAAAGTGTCTAACAATAATAGTAATAATAATCCTTGCATTTGATATTGCGCCTTATCGGGTCATCGAGACGAGCGAGAGAGAGAGAGAGAAGTGGGGAAGGTCTCAGGGGGGGAGAGAGAGAGAGAGAGAAGTGGGGAAGGTCTCCGGGGGGGGTGGAAGAGAGAGAGAGAGTGTGAGGTGCTGAGGAGAGCCCCGTGTTAACCCATGCCCCCAGATTCTCTTCCCCGGCTACGTCTTGACAGAGCCAGGAATCTCGGGGTCAGGCAAACACCACACACACACCCATCACAAGTCGGAAAATTATTTGCGGGATAAACAGGAACCAGTACATCAGCCCCTCGCTGTGACCTCCAGATCACAGACCCTGACCCAACAGATCAGACTGTGTCCCAACACAAGGAGTTATGAGTCATGTCAATATCCCACTGTTTCTCTGGGAGTATTTTCCACACATTATCACACACGCTTTCTGCCAGACGACCGGGAAAAACTATTATTTTTTCCGCTCAGAGTCTGACCTTCGCAGAAACCCATTACCATGTTCCTAACCAGTCTGAGAATTTCACGTGTGTCTCCCACCTACGCATTGGAAATTCCGACACGTGGAATGTGCTCTCTCTCTCTCTCTCTCTCTCTCTCGCGCTCTCTCCCTAACCCTAATCCTGATACCTAATTACAGAGAGTATTAGGCGCAGGTTGGCAAGAGCCAATGTGGGGCTCACTCCCCACTGGAGCTCTCTACTCTAACCCCATTCCCTGCTCTCTCTCTCTCTCCCCATCGTGTCTGTCCTGGGGCTTGCTCCCCCACTGGAGCTCTCTACTCTAATCCCTGGCTCACTAGCACTAAACCTTAATCTTTATAAGACTAATTTCTAAACCCCGATCAATTTATTGGGCTGATATGACATGTGTGACCAATCTCTCCGTGAACACAAACTAACGAATTCCATTGCCTGGAGGAATTTCTGCTAAATTCCTTCCTTATTTGTGTGTCCGCCTGGTTCTGTCTCTCGCACTCTCACCGCTGAGTCAGGAGGTTGTGGGTTCGTACCCCCACATTGGGGTGTCTGAGCTCACAGTTCAGGCTGACACTCCAGTGCGGCTCTGGGGGGAGAGAGAGAGAGGGGGAGAGCGCTGGGGGGAGAGAGAGAGGTAGAGAGAGAAAGGCAGAGAGGGATGCATTGTCAGAGACACTTCTTCAGATGAAACGTTAAACCTCACTCACTCCCCGTATGGTGGACATTAAAGTTCTCCTGCAGTGCTGTTAGGAAGGGAGAAGTTTCTCTCTCTCTCTCTCTCTCCCTCTCTCTCTCTCTTGGTATCCTGGCCAACAATCCCACAGGTAAAACCTCTCACTCGCTTCACGGCTGTTTGTGGGGACGTCGCTGGGCGCAAATTGGCTGCTGCGTTCTCCCCAAACACACGGTCACTACACTTTAGAGCAACAACAACAGCTTGAGTTTATATCTCCCCTTCACGCAGGGAAGTGTCTCGGAGCCTAGACGGAGCTCAAAGATCCAGACGTGTGGATGGGGCTCGAACCCACAACCTTCCGAAATCACACACAGTAAACCCGCAGCAAACGATCAGTAAATTCTGCAAAGTGCCTTTGAGATGCCCTCATGATATGAAAAGTAAACGTAAGAATTATAATATTCCATTTATTGCCTGAGGTTATAAACCTCAAGTCCCAATGTGACCATCATTCCATTCCCAGTGAATACATTCCTTGTCTATGATGCTTCCAATGTACAGAACTTTCTGGAACCTGTACATTCCACTGCATATTTAATCAGTCCCTCTGTTCCATGTAACCCAACATCCTTCCTGCTTTATCTTTGGTCAGAAACCCACACGTGGAAACCCGTCACCGTGACCAGCCGGGTGTCTGACACAGACACACGGAAACCCGTCACCGTGACCAGCCGGGTGTCTGACACACATGGAAACCCGTCACTGTGACCGGCCGGGTGTCTGACACACATGGAAACCCGTCACTGTGACCGGCCGGGTGTCTGACACACACGGAAACCCGTCACTGTGACCAGCCGGGTGTCTGACACAGACACACGGAAACCCATCACCGTGACCGGCCGGGTGTCTGACACACACACAGACAGAAACCTAAACATGGAAATCTCCCCATGTCTGGAATAAAATCTTCTCTTTCTCTTTCTCCCTGGAGGGGCACATTCTGCTCATGTAATTCCGGAGAGTATTAGGCACAGGTTGGCGAGAGCCAAGGCTTGGGGGGAGCCCAGAGTGTGCATTGAGGTAATTACTGGAGTCTAACCAGCTAAACCCACACATGGCTTGCCATGACAGCGCTGTCTAGCAAGCTTTCCCGCTGCCTGTCCACATAGGACCTCCCTCCCCGTTAAAGATTTGGTCCGTCGGGTTAACAGGAGCTGAAGGGGAGGTAATGGGGTTAAGGTGAGGGAGGGGATGAGCACACAGCGTGGCTGGGAGAAGCCAGTCATTCTGTCTGAGGCTGAGCTCTGTGCTGGGCTTTCCATGAGTGAGCGTACACACACACACACACACTCAGTGCCCAGCAGAAGTCGTGGCCTTTTAAGGCAATGAGATGCTCTCTGTCCAGTCTCATTGTACAGACTGTCAATAGGGAGACAGTGTGTGCGGAGCCACAGTGAGATGATGGGCCAAGTTCTCTGCCCAATGGCTAAGTCTTTTTTTGGTCAGTCGAGTGTCTAACACATACAGAAACCTACAAGGATGGCTCCTCTGGAATCCTCTCATCCATTTTCAAATGCTTTTCCTGCCCTCACACCTCCTTACTTCTCCAACCTATTCCCCCCCACCCCCCCACTCCACCACCTTTGATGGGCCGGCTCCCGCCTCCTGTTTATCCTTCGCCCCCACCGCTCCACGATCGGCGGCCGTGCCTTCAGCCGCTACCCCCCCCCCACCCGAAGCTCTAGAACACTCCCTCAACCCCTCTCTCCCCCCCTCCCTCCCCACTTTCCTAAAGACCTTCCTTTTTTTGATCGTGCTGACAGTCACCCCCCCCCACTCTCTCTCCCTGGGTCGGGGTCAGTCTCCGCCACTGTCAAGTGCTCCGGGACTCCACCCCCCGCATGAAGGACGCTGTGTATATGCAAGTTGTTGTTGTTAGACCCAGACCATTCCTTTTCGCCATCGGGCGCAACCCCACAGGTGCGAAATGCCAACACGACATAGAGCAGCTCTCTATGTGAGAAAAGCAGGACACGATGTCCTGCAGCTGAGCCTGTGTGGCCCATTTCTCCATCAGACATCCAGATAAGGTTTATGGCACAATGTGTCCTTCAACCCATCCTGACAGTATTTATAGATCGACAGGAAAACAACCCAGAGAGAGAACACAGATAGCAGCACTGTGTGTCTGCCCTCGCCACAAGCTCATACACACACACACGGTTAGTGTCAGGCCTCACAATAACCCTCACAAACTGACAAAGTTCATGGCAGGCGGACACAGCATTCACTCTAAAGTGTATTGATTGTGTAGCTCATCGAAGTCCCCGCAAACAGAGAGCGATTTTATCTGTGGGGATTGTCGTCTGGGAGACTGGGAGAGAAAGAAAAACTCTGTTCTCTTTCCCCCTCCCCGACAGCGCAGCAGGAGATCCTTAACGTCCGCCCCGAACAGGGCTCAGACGGGGAGTGAGTGAGGTTTATTGCTCCAAATGCAACCCAAACCCAACTGGGTCCAGGTCAAAGTGGTGACGTGTCGCCACCTGCTGGCTGAGGCAAGTCACACCATTCATTCCTGTTGGCCATTCTGGGAGTCAGCGCTGAATAAGGTCACACCGTTAAAAACAAAATTCGCTATTTTAATCACATTCCCCGCCTCACCCACTCCCCCCCACCCCACCCCGGTCAGGCTGCGGGGGGCAGGCGGAGCCAGTGGAGGCCAAGAGCTGAGCAGGCAGCCCCCAGGAGCAGGGAGGGGCCCCTCATCCCCCCGCTGGAGGTCACGTCTCGCTTGGCTAAAGTCTCAGGGCTGAAGCGGTCGAGCCAACTCCAGGCTCGCTGGGCAGTGCCATCGCTCAGCTCAGGCCTGAATGTGGGGTGCTTGTGAGCCCATGATTGCTGGGTGGACTTGGCTGATTGCTGGGTGTGCTGGCGCTTGTGCTTGGAGTTGGGCTGGGGGGCAGGTTGGGTGGGCTTGGCTGGTCGCTCCGTGGGCTGGGGTTTGGGGGGAAGTTGTGTGGATGTGGTGTCTGGCGAGTTCAGAGACTGAGCCAAATGCTCGATGATCATCTCCTGTGTCCAGTCCCTGGCGGGCGAAGGGGGCACGAAGGGGATGAAAGGTTTACCCGCGGCCGAGGTGACTCTCCGTATCCAGTCGATGAACTGGGCCACGCTGGTGTGGACCTCAGCCGGCTGGCAACTCTCCTCGACGAGGCTCCTCGTGCCCACCAGCACCCAGCGCTGACTGTGTGTGTCCTGGCAAACCAGTGGCCCCCCTGCTTCTCCCTGTAACACAGAGAATCACAGCGTCCAACACAGTGTGTTCACTTCTCCTGCAACAGAGCAAACCCTCGCTCCCTCCGCTCCACCATCGGCAGCCGCGCTTTCAGCCACTGCACCCCAAAACTCTGTCACTCCGTCCCACTCGCCCCTTCTTTACCCATCTTCAGATCTGCAAACCTTCCTCCTCGACGGTGCCTACAGTCACCTCTCTCCCCGGCTCGGGGTCAGGCTCTGTCACCATGACAGAGCTGTGTACCCGCGAGGCTGATGTTGATGTGACTCACGGTGCAGTTGGGGTTGGGGTTATGAGTGCAGATCATACTGCTGAGTAGCCTCGGCCCCCAGATCTCCGCACACTGTGTCCTGTTGACGTAGTGAGTCCTCAACTTCTGCAGGAACTGGGTATGGCTACCGGGACCTGTGGGCACAGAGCTTGAGGTCACAAATATAATATAATAATAATCCTTGCGATTGGCAGAATTCCACAGCAAAGTGTAGTGACTGATTATGGACGGACACGCTGCTGTGTCCTGCACTGAGGTGCTTGCTCTCTGGCTCACTCTGTGTTGTGTGTGTGTTTATGTCTCTCTCTCTCTCTCACCTTCAGACAGAAGGCTCCAGCCAGACACCCAGCAGTTCTGGATTTCCTGGGGATCGAGGAAGTTGTTGTCGGGGAAGCAAACAGCGGAGACTGAGTTGCTGAACTTAACGGGGATTCTCAGCTGGAGAAGAGCGATGTCCGCCCGGGAAGACAAGGGCTCATAGTCCTCGTGACAGATTATCTTCCCCACCTCGTGGCTGACCTTCTGCCCCTTCAGGTCAACCAACCCGACCTGAACACTCAAATTAGCCGCTGCTCTGAAAGATAAAAATAATAATAATCCTTTAGGTTTGACACAGCGCCTTATCATGTCTTCGAGACGTCTTAAAAGCTCTTCACAGACTACGCTAAAGTCAGTGTGTGTTTCATGGGCAAAACGCGGCAGCCAATTGCGCACAGCAACATCCCACAAACGGTCGTGGATTGCGTCATCACAGTCACACACACACACAGTCTCACACTTTTTAACTCATGCGCACACTCCAGCCTCACACACAGTCATACAGACACACTCCAGTCTCACGCACACACACATACACACACACACACAGTGTTTACCTGTTGCTGACACACCGAGCTCCTGTGACGATCCAGACGTGGCTGATGAGGGAGCCTCCGCACTGATGCTGGCCGCTATGGGTGAGGGAGACCTGCCAGGGGAACTCCCCCAGTCCAGCTCTGTCCCCGGCCTGAGCCAGAGCAGCCTCCGTCACTCGCTCCCCACACTCTGCAAACACAGGGGTCAGCACCGGCCTGTAAACACACACCTCCCACCAACCCCCCCACCCCCACCCTGCACACATACTCACACACCCCACCCCCCCCGCACACAGTCTTTCCTGATCGACCGTGCTTATGGCCACCTCCACCCTCCCTGGGCTCAGAGTCAGGCTCCGCCGCTGTTAAGCGCTCTGAGCCACTGCCCGGCGTGGCGGGCGCTATGTAAGTGCAAGTTGTTGTTGTTATCTCACTCTATCACACACTCTTCGTGTGCTGTGCTCACCGTGGCTGCCCTCGCTGGCCCAGCCCACACTGGCCCAGACGAGGATGGCCAGCAGGCAGGGGGCTGGCATGGCGGGCGGTGGGTGCGAGGCAGGTGCTGGGGTTGTGGAGGGGTGGTGGGGGGTGTCGGTGAGTCGAGGGATCGCCCTCCCCACTCACTGTGACATCATTTTCCCTCTTACACTCCACTGGGAGTCAGGTTACAACAACAACAGTAATAATCCTGGCGTTGGACCCGGCGCCTCATCACGTCTTTGAGACGCCCTCAAAGCGTCTCAGTGGATACGCGGTGAAGTGTAGTGACTGTGTGTGTTTTGTGGGCAATCGCCCGCAAACAGTCGTGGACGGTGTGACCAACTTTATTAGTATAATTATTATTATAATTATAATTAATTAGAGACTTCTCGAAGGCGTGATGATGAGTCACTGGGGCAAATCCCTCTATTTTTGCCCCAGGATTATTATTATTATTATTATTTGAGCTGGTTGCTAGGGGCGGGGCCCAGGCGGCGTCCTCGGTTGCTAGTGGCTGCGGTGAGGCGGGGCCTGATGACGCTTAGAGCGGGTGGAGTCTACGATGACGCTGAGGGCGGAGAGCGATGATGCTGACAGGGGGCGGAATCTATGGTGACGTTAAGATGGGGGTGGGGTTATGGGGACGCTACGGGTCCCGCGCGACGTGGTGACGCCACGACGAGGTGAGGAGGCGGGAGTGCGGTGACGCTATGCGGGGGGGGGGCTGATGACGCTATGAGTCCGCGCCGCGCGGTGACGCTGCTACGAGGGAGGGGGTTGATGACGCAAAGAGCCTGCGCCGCGCGGTGACGCGGTGAGGCAGTGATGGCGCCGGGAACCATGAGGGCGGCCGCTCCGCTCGCGCTGCTGGACGGTTTGTGTCAGTTACTGAGGGACCCGGGGCCCCGCCTCCCCGGTCTCCTCCTCCTGCACCGGCTCAGCCAGTGCCGCCCCCAGGTATAGCCCCGCCCCCCCGGAACCTCCCCCCGACACCGGGCCCAGCGCAGCCCCTCCCCCACATCCACAGGTCCTCACAGCCACACACAACCCCTCCCCCCCACACACACAGCCCCTCTCCCCCCCACAGCCCCTCCCCCCCACACAGCCCCTCCCCCCCCACACAGCCCCTCTCCCCCCACACACAGCCCCTCCCCCACAGCCACAGGTCCTCACAGCCACACACAACCCCTCCCCCCACACACACAGCCCCTCTCCCCCCCACAGCCACACACAGCCCCTCCCCCCACACACACAGCCCCTCTCCCCCCCCACAGCCCCTCCCCCCCCCCACAGCCCACACACAGCCCCTCCCCCCCCACACCACACAACCCCTCCCCCCACACACACAGCCCCCTCCCCCCCCACAGCCACACACAGCCCCTCCCCCCACACACACAGCCCCTCTCCCCCCACAGCCCCTCTCCCCCCCCACAGCCACACACAGCCCCTCCCCCCACACACACAGCCCCTCTCCCCCCCACAGCCACACACAGCCCCTCTCCCCCACACACACACAGCCCCTCTCCCCCCCACAGCCCCTCTCCCCCCCCACAGCCCTCTCCCCCCACACACAGCCCCTCCCCCACACACACACAGCCCCTCTCCCCCCCCACAGCCACACACAGCCCCTCCCCCCCCCACAGGTCCTCACAGCTGCACCCCCCCCCCCCCAGGCATCTCGGTGACGGGTTTCCGTGTGTGTCAGACACGCGGCCGGTCACGGTGACGGGTTTCCGCGCTGTGACACTGACACGGACGAGTTTGTGTGGGAAATGTTTGTTTGATCTCTGCCTCGTTTCTCTCTTGCAGAACCCGTCCGATCTCACGGGTCTGATCGCCATCAGCAATGCCCGACTGAGCTCTGTGAAAACCAGGTGAGAGCGTGAGTGATCCCCCCCCCCCCCCCCCCCCGCTGTCAGGGCATCTCAGTCCAGCACAGGCTCCGGGTCAAACCCCACAATCCCACAGAAAATAATAATAAATTGTGCGCAATCAGCTGCTGCGTTTACGGTATACTTTACAGTGTGTCTTGTGAAGCGCTTTGAGACGTCTCGAAGATGTCTATCAAGTGCAAGAATTATTATTGTTATTATTCTTAAATTGTATTATATTCTGCTTTTATGGCGCACAATGGTTGCTGATCCTTTGCTTCCTCCCCTCTCTTCCATTCTCTCTCTCTTCCCCCCACCCCTCTCCACTCCCCTCTTCCCTCTGCCCTCCCCCTCTCCCGCAGACTGGAGGGAGTGTGTCTCCTGGCCCAGCTGGTCGCTGACAGCCCCACTGAGATCTTCCAGGATCAGTGTATCTCATGGCTACGAGCTGTGCAGCACATCGTCCAGGTACGTGAGGCCACCCCCGCCCGCCCAGGATCCGCGACCCACAGGGAAGATGGCTGCTGTGTGTGTGGGGTGGGGAGGGGGCGGGCTGGCAGGTTGTGTGTAGAGGGTGTGTGTGTGTGTGTGGGGGGTGCAGGTTGGGGTTTGGGGGCTGTATGTTGGGAGCTATGTGTGCGGATTGGGAGCTTTATGTGGGGGGTGGGGGCTGTGTGTGAGGGCTTGATGCTGTGAGGGGGATGGGGGCTGTGTGTGTGTGTGGGGGGGTTAACGCTGTAACTATGTACGTAACAGGCCCAGGACCCATTGCCCACAGTGGAGATGGCGGTCTGGGTGTTGAGGGAGTTGCTCAGATACTCCTCACAGCTGCCGGAGCTGGGCCGTGAGGTGGCCATGAACCACATCCCCAGCCTTGTGTCCTCCCTGCTCAGCCTGAAACCTGAGGTCAGTCACTACACCTCCAACACAATCTGTCTGACTCTCTCTCTCTCTCTCTCTATCTCTCTCTAACTGTGTCTCTCTCACTGAAACCAGTAGTCAGTCACTAAACCTCCATCACCTCCCTCTCTCTTACCCTCTCTCTCTGTCTCTCACTCTCTCAATCTATTGTGCTATGTTGTTCTATGTCTCTCTCCCTCTCTCGGCTCTCTCACTCTCTCTCTCTCCCTCACACATTCTCTCTCCCTCTCTCTCACACTCTCTCTCTCCCTCTGTCTCACACTCTGGCTCTGTCTCTCTCACGCTCTCTCTCTCTCCCCGCTCAGTACCAGTTGGCTGCTATGGAGGGGATGAAGGCGTGTATGACCCATTACTCACGAGCGTGTGGATCATTGAGGGTAAGGGAACTGCCGTAAACACTCCACAGTCTCTCTCTCTCTCATGTGTCTCTCTATCTGGGTTTGATTTCCCAGATCAGAGCGAAACCTCAGGCACACAGACACACACACACGAGCCTCTGTTTCCCAGCAGGAACTAGAAACCCACCTGTTAGTCGATTGACGGATCAATTTTCTGGGGGTAATAATTCCTTCAAAAAAAATAAGAATTTTTTCTTATCACTCAATCTATGACTGTTTGTGGGGACGTCGCTGTTCGCAATTGGCTGCCGCGTTTTGCCCACAAAATATACAGTCACTACACTTTATAGTACATTCTGTGAAGCTCTTCAAAGGCGTGATAAGGTGCTGTGTCAAAGGCAAGGATTATTATTATTGTTGTTATCTTCTCTCCTGCGTATATGTGTGTTTCTGTCTGTCTCCTCTCGGTGTATGTCAGTGTATGTGTGTTGGTGGGAGGTGGGAGTTGCTAACTGTTCTGTGTGTCAGTGATTGTGTACATTGTGCTCGCAGGGGAAGTTGGCAGCTTATTTCCTGTCTAAGATGGACACCAGCAGCCCCCAGGTCCAAGAGGTAATGTCGGCGCTGGGGGAGACGCAGTGGGAGTGTGTGTGCGCGCGGGCTCTGTATGGTGTGTGTATGGTGGGGGGCTGTGTGTGGTGTGTGTATGTGGTGGGGGGCTGTGGATGGTGTATGTGTGCATGGTGGGGGTTTGTGTGGGTGGTGGGGGGGATCGGCGTGTATGGGAGGGGGGTTGTACTTGTGATAGTGACTGTCTCTCCCCTTGTTATATAGTTGGCTTGTCACTGTTATGCTCTGCTCCCTGGACTGGGGACCGGCTTTGCTCAGGGCATGAAATACTCTGAGTCCTGGAGCCAGCAGCTTCACTGCCTCCTCGCCAGCCTGCATCGGCTCACAGAGGAGATCTACCAGGGCTCGGAAACAGGTGAGGCTTCCTGGGGGGAGAGAGATTCATTGGTAACAGTCCAGGCTGAGGCTCCAGCTGGGGGACGTGTGTTGTATTATATTGTGGAGATTGTTTAACCTGAGGCTGTTTCGTTCTCACACACACACAGAACCCTCTCGCTATGAAGGACCTGGGGTTGACCTGCCGCTGCCTGCCCTGAACGACACTGACCCGTATCACGTCCTACACCTCAGTCAACGCTTCACAGCCCTGAGCAAATGCCTGGCCCAGCTCCTCAGGTACCAGCTGCCCGTCACTGCCCGTCACTGTCTGTCTGTCTCTCTCTCTCTCTCTCTCACACGCTCCCGCTATCTCACTCAGGAAGGATTTCTCAGTGGCTGTGACAATCCCAGTTCAGGACGTCCTCGGGCTGGTCTGTCGTGTCCTCAACATCTCCAGCAAAAACATGGTGAGGCCCTCGGTGTCTAGTCCTCTCTCTCACACACACACACTCTCTCTCTCTCTTTCCCACTCTCTCACACTCTCTCTCTGCGACAGAACTGTTTCTCTCTCTCTCTCTCGCTCTTACACACTCTCTTTCTCTCTCTCTCACACAGAGCTGTCTGGGTGAAGGAGCTGTGAAGGTGCTCGTGTTACCATCTCTGCACACGGACGCTCTCGACATTCTCTCTGCTCTCATCACCACGTAAGTGTGGGGGGTGCTATGTGTGTTTTTGGGGGGCGGGGGGGCTGTCTGTGTGTGTGGGGGGTGTGCTGTGTGTGTGTTTTGGGGGGCGGGGGGGCTGTCTGTGTGTTTTTGGGGGCGCGGGGCTGTCTGTGTGTGTGGGGGAGTGGGTATGTAACACTGACCCTCTGTCTCTTTCACTAGTTGTGGTAAACGGTTGCTAAGGTTTGCGGACGTGATTTGCCGACTTTTTCCCCAAGTGCTGACGGCCTGGGCCACACCCCGGGGCTCAACCCCCCCCGGCCAAGAGAGAGGTCACAGGTCAGTGTGGGGGGACGAGAGGTCACAGGCCAGTGTGGGGGGAGGGGAGGGGCTGTGGGGAGGGGAGGGCGGGTGTAGGGTGTAAGTGAGGCACTAACACACACTGTGGTTCCAGTGGGGTCCGGGTGACAGTGTACACGGTGATGGAGACTTGGCTGAAAGTTGCTGGAGTGGCCTCGGGGGTCCTGCAGGGGGCGGCACATCATCCCGACATCCTCCTCTCTCATTTACTGTCAGACGTCACCCCCCCCTCACACACATTGCAGGTAAGCCTGGACACACACACGCACACCCTCACACACACTCACACGCACATCCTCACACACACGCACACCCTCACACACACTCACACGCACATCCTCTCACACACACGCACACCCTAACACACACCCACTCACACACCCTCCCACACACACGCACACCCTCACACACACTCACACGCACATCCTCTCACACACACGCACACCCTCACACACACCCTCACACACACACACACCCTCCCACACACACACACACACACCCTCCCACACACACGCACACCCTCACACACACGCACACCCTCACATACACCCTCACACACACACACGCACACCCTCACACACACTCACACGCACATCCTCTCACACACACGCACACCCTAACACACATGCACACCCTCACACACACCCTCACACACACACACACCCTCACACACACACACACACACACCCTCCCACACACACGCACACCCTCACACACACACGCACACCCTCACACACACACGCACACCCTCACACACACCCTCACACACATCCACCCTCACACACACTCCAGGTAAGCCTCCCCCTCACACACACCCACACACACCCTCCTTGTCCCTCATACACACCCCCTCCCTCTGTGTCTGTGTGTGTCTCTCCCTCTTCCCACACTGACAGTCTCTCCGTGCCCAGATACAGGTTCTGTGTGAGTTTATGTCTGTGTGTGTGTCTTGTCTGTCTATGTGTGTGTGTCTGTTTGTGTCCTCTCCCCACACTGACAGCCTCTCTCTGTGACTCCCCAGGTGAGAGCTAAGCCTGCGGCTGAGGTGCAGACCGGCAGCTACGGGAAACCTTACGGGAAGCGGGCAAGGCTGGGGGAGGTGACAGACACCTCGCCAGTGAGAGGCCATCACAAACAGGACCTGACCGCGAACAGTGACGTGTGTCTGGCCGCCCTGAGAGGTACAGCCCCAGCCCCCCCCCCCCCACCACAACCACCACCACAACAACATAGGGACAGCAGAAAGCCATCAGCCCTGTTTGTTTCTGTTTCTGAATTCCCCCACCAGAACAACAACACATTACATTTACACACGTCAGAAGGACGTCCCAGGGCCCTGGACCCGAGCTGGGGGTTAGGATCAGGAGGGGTGGAGGGCAGGGAGGGGGGGTGGGGGGGTAGAATGGCCACCTTCAGTTCTGAGAGTAGTTGGTGTGAGGGGGGCATGAGGGCAGTTGATGGGGGTGGGGGGGTGACCAGGGTTGTGTGGGACAGAGTAACCCAGGTTTGCCCACTCACTCTCTCTCTCTCTCTCACTCTCTCTCACACTCCCTCTCTCTCTTTCACACTCTCTGTCTCCCCAGTTCTCAGTCGTGCAGTGTTGGCCTGTGGCAGTTTGTTGAAAGAGGAAACTCACAAGGTCAGTGTCGCCATCTTAACCCCCTCCTCCCCGGGGCGGGGAGGGTGGGGGGGAGATTCCTTGTATCTCGGGTTTGGTTAAAACTCGTCCGTATCCGCAGCATCGAAGTGGTTGACCGTGTTCCAGTTCACCAAGACATCACTTGCTGTTTGCTGTGCGGAGCAGGAAGTGATGTCGGCAGTGACCGGGAAGTTGGACATGTTAATTTTTTTAAAAAAAGTGTCTGAAGTAATAATAATTTGGGTCGCTGGGGGCACCCACGTCTGTGTGTGGGACATCACTGTGCGCAGTTGGCCTCACACCCGGCGTGAAGGGCGCGATATAAATGCAAGTTGTTGTTGTTGAGACGTGGCTGTTTGTGTGGCAGAAGCTGCAGGAGATGGTGCTGTCGCTGTTGATGGGGTTGGGGCGCAGGTCGGGGGAGCCCAGCCCCTACCTCAGGGCTCAGTGTCGCCTCGAACTACACCGTCTCCTCCTCTTCCTGCTCCTCGTTCCCAACCCTCACCGTCCACCTCCTCTCCACTGTGCCATCAACACCTTCAGCCTCGGACAACAGGACAGTAGCACTGAGGTGAGACACACACATGCACACAATTACACGCACACACACACACCCTTACACACACACACACCCTTACACACACACATAGAGTTCTGTCACTGTGATTGCTGTGTGTGTGTGTGTAGGTGTGTGTTTGGGAGTGTGCGGGAGTCACTGTGATTGCTCTGTGTCTCCTCAGGTGTCTGCGTTCTGTTGGGAGGCGCTGGTCACATGTAACGCCCTGATCCACCCTCGCGTGGCTTCTCTACAGTCACCCCTGAACCTCCCCCTAAAGCTCCCGACAGACTCACACCCGGCCCCCGCCCCCCCCAGCAAACCCCACCCTGAGCTGCCAGGCCCCGCCCGCTTCACCTTGGCCCTGGGGGCGGGGCCTGGCCAGGAGGAGGAGGAGCTGGAGGCGGAGCCTGTGGCTGGGGGGCTGGAGGAGGAGGAGGGGCTGTTTGGGGATGGGGGGCACAGGCCTGTGTTTGTTCGTTACGATAAGGAGGAGGCGTCTGACGTGGAGATCTCGCTGGACAGTGACTCCGACGACAGCATCTTAATCGTCCCGGACGGCACCCTCCCCGAGCCCCCACCGTCCCCGCCTCTCCCCCCCGCCCCAGCCTCCACCCGCCAGGACATCCAGCCCCCGCTAGCCCCCTCCCCCAGCCCAGCCCCCGCCCACAGCCCTGCCCCAGCCCCCGCCACCCAGACACAACCCCCACCCCCACCTCCCCCCGCCCAGCTCCCACCCCCTCCCCTTCCCCCAGGCCCCGAGGAGACAACGGGGCCCGAGAGCCAGGAGCCGGCGGAGGAGCTGACAGTCATCAACATCAACAGCAGCGAAGATGACGAAGAGGAGGAAGGCTTCGGGGAGGAGGACGAGGAGGAAGGTACGATTACCATCGTTAAGGTTCTGAAGAGACTGAGACACTGTTGTCCTATAGCTCGGGTTAGACCCCTCGCCTCACAATAATAATAATAATCCTTGCATTTGATATAGCGCTTTTCACGTCGGGAGGACGTCCCAAAGCGCTTCACAGAACACACTGTAAAGTGAATTGACTGTATATTTGTGGGCGAACGTGGCAGCCAATTGCGCAGAGCAATGTCCCACAAACAGTCGTAGAATTAAAATGACCAATTTATTATTGTTTTTGGTTTTGGAGGGATTATTATTAGGCTCTGTGTGGAGTAAGGAAACTTGCCCAAGGTTTCGCCCTCTGCCTGGAATTGAACTCGGGTCTCTCACTTGCAAAGCGAGTGCTCTAACCACTGAGCTACAGGACTCCAGTCCCTGTAGCTCGGGGGTTAAACCCCTCACCTCGCAGAGGACCTGGGTTTGGTGCCTGGGCGGGTTAGGACAGTTTGGGGTGAAACCTTAGGCAAGTTTCCCTCCACACACACACAGACACACACACAGACCCGCACACACACACCTGTGTCCCCGGTAGTCAGTAGGAACCCACTTGTCAGTCGATTGGGGGATCACTTTCCGGGGGTAATAATCCCTTCAAAATAATAATAGTAATTTGGTCACTTCAACCCGCGGCTGTTTGTGGGGACGTCGCTGGGAGCGATCGGCTGCCACGTTTCGCCCACAACACACGCGCAGTCACTACAGTCAATAAACTATAATGGGTCCTGTAAAGCAATTTGAGACGACGTGATAAGGTGATGTATCAAATGCAAAGATTATTATAATATCTGTGGATACAGTATACTGACACACACAGACACAGAGAGAGAGAGACACACAGACACAGAGAGAGAGAGACACTCAGATACAGACACAGAGAGAGAGACACGGACACAGAGTAAAGTTTGAGGCACAATATGTCAAGTGATGGTCAGACTGGTGGACAGATCTTTGGCTGAGCTGATGGCAAAGGACTGTTGTTCTGAAGGTTATTACGAGGAGTTTGAGGACGAGGAGTTTGAGGAGGAGATGGAGGAGGAAGAGGAGGAGGAGGAAGAGGACGAGGAGATGGAGTACAAGGACCTCGATGATGACGATGAAGATGATGAAGATGAAGAGCTGTACGAGCACGAGACGGACGGAGTTTCCGAGGAGGAGGAGTCTGGTCTTTCAGGGGGCGACGCTGGGCCTGAGGGTGGGTCCAAACTCCATGCCCTGCAGGAGGCCAGCCCCCAGGGGGAGGGGCTGGGCAGGCGGGGGGAGGGGGACACTGAAGCTCCGCCCTCTAGTGATGCAGAGAAACACTCCGAACCAGGGGCGGAGCCTGTGGACCCTGCGTCGTGGGGAGAGGAGGCCGGGGCCAGGCCCGAGGAGAAGGGGGCTGCCCCACCCATAGAGGCCCCGCCCCAGCCAGAGACCACGCCTCCGAGCGAGGCGGAGCCTGAGAGAGCGAGAGAGGACGCCACCATGGCGACCGACGAGGAGACCGTCCCACTACCCCTGGAGGCGGGGCCTGGCCTTGAGAGGGAGGAGCCAAGTGAGGGCATGGCTGAGGTAAGCCCACCCCACCTCCCCCCCCCCCCCATGTGGACAGTCTTAGTTTCTCCCCATTTGGTAAATACTGTGTTTTATTGTTGACCTCACACTTCCCCGCGTTGAACTCCAGCTGCCACCGTTCTGCCCGCCCGCCCGACACTGTGCTCACATCACCGTCTACTGTGTCTCCAAACTTTGTCATTAGTAAATTCACATCCAAAACTCCTTCATCCAAGTCGTTTATATATGTGTTTTTGTATTTATTTGGTGAAACCTGTGGTCCCAGTGCAGAGCCCGGGGGACCCCCCCCACCCCCACACTCGACACGGGGGGTGGAGGGGGGGAGTGGGGAGAAGGGAGTTTCTCTCTCAAGAGTCCTGGCCGACAATCCCCCGGATAAAATCACTTGCTCCCTTCAAGGCTCATTTGTGGCGACGTCATGTGTAAACCAACAACAGCTTGTGGCCCCCCTACCCCCCACCCCGGCCCCATACAGGGGAGCGTCCCAGAGCGCTTGACGAGTTGATGACCCCTTCTCAATCCCCCCCCACCCCCCCAACGCTGATGCTCTCATCTCTGTTCCAGGCCGGGGAGGACCAGACGGCTGCCATGTTGGCTGACTTTGTGGACTGTCCACCAGACGAGGAGGAAACCAAGACAACAGCCGAGGGCAGCACCAGCTAGTGTCACGGGGAGGGGAACTAGTGTAACGGGGGGGTGGGGGGGGGTTGCAGGGGGACTAGTGTAACGGGGTGGGGGGGTGCGCGAAGGGTGGATAGGGACTAGTGTAACGCAACGAGGTGGGGGCCTCGTGTGACAGGGTCGGAGGGAGCTGGGGCTTAATGGGGGGGTGGGGCTGGAACCGTGAGGAACGAGCAGTTTTTCTGAGAATAAGTGCTTAAGAAAATAAAGTTTTTGTTCCCTCAGGACTTGGAAGCTTCGTGTGGGGGGGGGGGGCGGGTGTGGGGGGAGATGGTGAGAGTGTGGGGGGGGGGGGGGAGTTAGGGAGGAGGGGGGGAGAGTGTGAGGGGGTGGGGGGGGGGAGGGTGAACAGGGAACTTTTGAGATACTATTTTTTGTTTTTTTTAAATAAAACCCAGTGAGATTATTCAGTGAGTGGAGCCGAGTTGATGGAGTGAGTGAATTGAGTAATAAACATAGTGACTGTGAGATCTGCCCTCGTGTTGTGTTATCTCTTTATTTGTGGATCTTTCCTTGTGAAAAGGCGCATCACAAATGGCTCGACACAGACAGAGAAATCAGTGTTATTTATTCCCGTTATAAACCAGTTTCTTGTTTAACTGCGTTATTAACTGTAATATTCACAGCTGCTCAATGTTATTGTAATAATTGTGATTTGCTCACTGGCCATCTCCCCCCCCCCACAACGCCACGGCTCGTCCCACTCTCTGTCTCTCGATCGGTATCTGTGACACGTGTGAAGAGAAAATACAAACACAGGTTTTTTTTTAAAATTTTGTTTTATATTAAAAACACAAATAAATTCACTGAGTGACCGGAACCACATTACAGAAACCCAGAGCTATTCACCGCAACACTGAGCACAGAGGGAACTAATTCCCCTAACTCAGGGGGGAGCGAGGGGGGTGGTGGCTAGGCTAGGGGACAGGAGTGGGGGCGGGGTGGGGGGAGCAGGGTGGGGGGGATAGTAGGGGAATGTCCGATGTGTTCATGATGAGACTGGAATCGAGGCTCAGACTGTCTGAAACAGATACAACAACAACAGGGATTAGTGACTGGAACATCATCATCTCCTTGTCCACACTCTCCATCTCACACCCCCCCCCACCACCTCCCTCAACACTGTGCGTCCGTCCACACTCCCAGGTCAGGGTTAGAGACACAGTGAAGTTCCCTCTACACACAAATCCAGACAGACACAGACACTGACCCTGGTCGAAGTTGAGTTTCTTTGCTGGCGATGCCTCCCCCAGACCCTCGATGTCCACGAGGTCACTGTTCACATCCGAGTCGTTGAGGGCACTGAGCGTCACATCTGGGGGCGGACACAGTGAGCGGTGTGAGCAGCGCTGACAGGGCAGGGACCAGGAACAGGAGCCCCGGGTGATTACAGGCCCCTCACCCCCCACCATTCATCGTTCTTAAGATTCTCCAAACCAAACAGAATTCCACACTCCTACTTTACTAACGGTGGAAATCCCAGAGATAAGATTGTTGGAATGGAACTCTCTCTCTCCCAGTTCAGCTCCGAGGAGACTCCACTTAACACACCTCCCCCACCCTCCGATAGTCACGAGAAAGAGAGAGCAAGGGATAGAGAGGGCTCATACACACACACGCAGACAGAGAGCAAGAGAGAGAAAGGAGACAGAGAGAGAGTAGGTACCTGATGGCTTTTGTTTCTTGTGGGCTGAGGTGTCAGGGAGGGGGGTGCTGGCTGGGGCGGGAGCTGGGCTGGGGGTGGGGGTGGCCGTCACGGACGCTGGTGACTGCGTTTTCTTCTGCGATTTCTTGGGGGACTCAGAAGGGATAGGAACCCCCCCATCTTCATAAACCTTTCGTTTCACTGTGGTCTTTATCTGTGCCCTAGAGAGAGCCAGAGAGAGAGAGTCAGGCTGGTGCACAATCACAACTTGTTTTGTCCACAAAACACAAGTCACTACACTTTACAGTACATTCTGTGAAGCACTTTGAGATGTGATAAGGCGCTGTGTGAAATGTAAGGATTATTTATTTACGTTGTGAATTGTTACTGCAAGAAGGTGAAGGAACGGGAACGACATGAGGAAAAGGGCCTGACCTGCGGACCCCTCCCCTGGCCCCACCCTTCCTGTCAGGCTCTGCCCCCCACCATCCCACTAGCCCCGCCCTGACTCCACCCCGGCTTACACTGTGCGATCTTTGATGACGGTGCTGATGTTGTTTAAATCTTCCCCAAAACGCTTAACTGCTGAGCGCAGCATCTCAATCTCCGTGTCCGTCCACTTGGCTCTGGCGGCGAGAGAGAGAGAGAGAGAGAGAATGTGGGCGAGGGAGAGAGAGAGTGTGGACAACGGAGAGAGTGTGGGCGACGGAGAGAGAGTGTGGGAGAGGGAGAGAGAGTGTGGGAGAGGGGGAGAGAGTGTGAGCGAGGGAGGGAGAGAGTGTGGCGAGAGAGTATGCGCGAGGGAGAGAAACAACATGGTGGAGAGAAGGGGAACCGAGGGAGAGAAAGAGCGTGGGATCGAGGGGGAGAGACAGCGGAGTGGGCTATGACCCCAACAGGACTGCGCTGACAGGCAGCGGCCACGATGTGTTGCTGTCTAATAACAATAATAATAATCCTGGCGTGTGATCCGATGCCTTATCACGTCTTCAAGGCGTCTCAAAGCGCTTTACAAGAAACACTGCAACATGTAGTGACTGTGTCACGTGGCAGCAACGTCCCCACAAACCACCATGACAGTTGAGCTGAGCTCCGTACAAAAGATGGATCGGGATCCGGCGGGAATCGAACCGGGAACCTTCTCCTCAGCGGCCAAAAGCCCCGGCCACAGGCTCCACAGTGAGGCACGTCGCAGAAACAGGTCTCCCAGTCCATCAGTCCGTGTCAGTGTGAGGGAGAGAAGAGAACGCGAGGGAGAAAGAGCGAGCGAGAGAGCGAGAGGGAGAGAGAGGGAAAGAACAAGAGAGAGAGACAGCGAGTGTGAGAGTGAGGGGAGGCTGAGCCGTTCAATGATAGCCCCTGGGTGTGGGCTGGTGACGGGCGGGCGGCCGGGCGGGGGGCACTTACCCAGCTGGTGAGGAGTCGGCCACGGGGTGAAGCTGCATGGTCAGCTCCCCCAACTTAGTGAAGGCAGCTCCAGCAGCTGAGAAGATCTCTCCCACCTGTGGACACGACACAAGCACAGAGTTCATTGATGACCGACTGCAAAAGCTGTTTTACAATTATTTACATTCAAACGCTCCGGGGCACTCCCCAGCGTGAGGGACGCTACAGTATACACTATACACTGTAGAGTATACACTACACTGTACAGTATTCACTATACTATATACTATAGACTATACTATATACTATAGACTACAGACTATACACTATATCAACAACAAGATTCCATTTATAGAGCGCCTTTCACGTCGGGAGGACGTCCTAAGGTGCTGGACAGTTGGGTCGGGACCCGAGCATTGGGGGGAAATGGTCAGGGGGAGGGAAGGGAGGGAGCGAGGAGAGGTTAGAGAGTCGAGAGCGGAGCTGAAGGCACGGTCGAAGAGAAAGGTCTTGAGACCGGCCTTGAAGGAGGAAAGGGAGGAATCATAGAATCATAGAATTGTACAGCACAAAAAGAGGCCATTCGGCCCATCGAGTCTGTGCCGCTCTCTGAATGGAGCAAATAACATCAGTCCCACTCCCGGCCCTTTCCCCATAACCTGCAAACCCGTCCTCCGCAAATACCCGTCCACCGCAGTTTTAAAAGTAGTTATGGAATCGGCCTCGACCGCCCTTTCAGGCAATGTTCCAGATTCCAACAACTCGCTGCGTGAAAACATGTCTTCTCCCCTCCACTCGGCTTCTTTTAGAGACTATTTTGAATCTGTGACCTCGAGTCACCGACACTCCCACCAGTGGGAACAGTTTGTCCCTTTCTATCCCATCAAATCCCCTCATGATTTTGAAGACCTCTATTAGGTCCTCGTAACCTTCTCTGCTCCAATGAGAATATTCCCGGCCTCTCCAGCCTTTCCTCACCATCACGGTCCCTCATTCCTGGTACCATCCTCGTAAATCTCCTCTGTACCCTTTCCAATGCCTTAACATCCTTCCTATAGTGTGGGGCCCCGAACTGGGGCAGTATTCTAACTGAGGCCTAACCAGTGTTTATATCGGTTAATCATCACCTCCTGACTCTTGTACTCTATGCCCCTATTTATAAAGCCCAGTATCCCATATGCCCTTTTTGCCTGTCCCTCCACCTTCAAGGATTCAGTTACCTGCCCCCCAGGTCGCTCTGTTGTTTTACCCCCTTAAGATTGTATTACCAGCCATTATTGCCTCCGCTCATTCTTTCTACCAAAATGCATTACTTCGCATTTCTCTACATTGAAACTCATCTGCCATGTGTCGCCCATTTTACATTCTGTCTCTGTCTTCCTGCAGTCGGCTGCTATCCTTCTCACTGTTTACCCCCTCCCTAACTTTGTGTCGTCCCCAAACTTGGAGATGGTATTTGCTATACCCAAGTCCAGATCATTTATGTATATTAAGAAGAGCATTGGTCCTAATACCGATCCCTGGGGACACCACTGTACACTTCCCTCCAGTCAGAAAAGCAGCCGTTCACCACAACTCTCTGCTTTCTGTCTCCCAGTGAGTTCTGGATCCGCTGCCACTGTCCCTTTTATACCGTGAGCTTCTATCTTTCTCACAAGTCTTTCATGTGGCACTTTGTCAAATGCCTTTTGAAAGTCCATATAAACTACATCAACTGTACTATCTTTATCCCCTCTCTGTTACCTCATCAAAAAATTCTATTTCGATTATATACTATAGACTACAAACTATACACTATATACTATACACTATAGACTATACCCTATATACTATACACCATAGACTATGTAAGTTTCACTTCTTAAGGACGTCTCTAGTGTTTCACACGATTCACTGCCAAGTGTAGTGACTGTGTGTTTTGCAGACAAATGTGACAACGCCCTCCAAGTCCTCCCGATGACAAAGATGAGGGAAAGAGTGTATTGTTTGATTGCCATTGATATCACTGTCGGCCTCTGATTCCCGCTGCTTGTCCAGCTCGGGCCACCCTCCCCGTTAGTCAGTCAGTTAGTTAGTTAGTTGGGGCTTTGGCCTCAGGGTTAACAGGAGCTGAGGGGGAGGATTCCCTACCCCCAGTGACCGGTCTCCATCCACGGCTGTTTGTGGGGACGTCGCCGGGCGCGATCGGCTGCTGCGTTTCGCCCACAAAACACAGTCACTACATTTTACAGTGTGTCCTGTGAAGCTCTTTGAGACGCCGCGATGCCGTGATCAGGCGCCGGGTTGGATGTAAGGATTATTATTATTATTACCTTGGTCGAGGCTGACGTCATCCTGAGGGTCTGTTGTTTATCTGGAGCCCCACATTAACTTGAGCGATGGCGGAGGCGGAGGAGGTGGAGGAGGGCTGGGGGTGGGGGTGTGAGGGGGCTGCGGTGGGGGTGGGGGTGTGAGGGGGCTGCGGTGGGGGTGGGGGTGTGAGGGGGCTGCGGTGGGGGTGGGGGTTGGTCCTGGAGATGCTGATGATTGGACTCTGAATCAGTTGATGTAAATGATTGTGTTTAAACTGCTCTCTCTGTGTCTCTCTCTCTGTCTCTGTGTCTGTCTCTCTGTGACTCTCTCTCTGTGACTCTCTGTGTCTCTCTGTCTCTCTCTCTCTCTGTGTCTCTCTGTCTCTCTCTCTGTGTCTCTGTGTCTCTCTCTCTCTGTGACTCTCTCTCTCTGTGTCTCTCTCTCTCTGTGACTCTCTCTGTGTCTCTCTCTCTCTGTGTCTCTGTGACTCTCTCTCTCTGTGTCTCTCTCTCTCTGTGTCTCTGTGACTCTCTCTCTGTGTCTCTGTGACTCTCTCTGTGTCTCTCTCTCTCTCTGACTCTCTGTCTCTCTGTGTCTCTCTCTCTCTGTGACTCTCTCTCTGTGTCTCTGTGACTCTCTCTCTCTCTGTGTCTCTGTGACTCTCTCTCTGTGTCTCTGTGTCTCTCTCTCTCTGTGTCTCTGTGACTCTCTCTCTGTGTCTCTGTGACTCTCTCTCTCTCTGTGTCTCTGTGACTCTCTGTGTCTCTCTCTCTCTCTCTGTGTCTCTGTGACTCTCTCTCTGTGTCTCTCTCCCGCCTCAGCCTCTCAGCTGCCGCCGGAAGTCCCGCCCCTCCCCTCCCCCATTGGCTGTCCGCTTGTCACTCAGCTTCTCCCCCGCGCTGATTGGCAACCTCATATCCCCGCCCCCTCCATGGCGCTCTGACCAATCACAGGGCAGCGAGAGGACGGAGCTGCTAATTGGTCATCGCACTATCAATCACAGGAGGTCCGAGATTGCGTCACGGCGCCGCGTAGTGGCCACCAACAGCAACTACACCACAGTGTGTCACAGCGCCGCGCAGTGGCGAACATCAGCATCAACAACTACACACATATCAATACAATAATCGTTATTAATCCTTGTGTTGCTGTAAAGTGTAGTGACTGTTTTTTGGGCGGAACGCTGCAGCCAATTGCTCTCAGCGACATCCCACAATAACAGTCGTGGATTGAGTGACCACATTATTATTATAATTTCTTTTGAGGGGATTGATTCGCCTGGAAAAGCGATCCGCCAATCGACTGACAAGCGGGTTCTTACTTCCTGCTGATATATAGAGGTGTGTGTGTCTCTGTGTGTGTGTGGGGGGTAAGGAAACTTGCCTAAGGTTTCGCCCCGACCTGACCCACCTGGGAATCGAACCCAGGTCTCTCGCCTGCGAGACGAGGGGCTCTCACCACTGAGCTACAGGACTCCAACAAACACCAAATCCAGAAATTGTTTAAATTCCATCCATTTACTCCAAGGCTCCGGCTCCAAAATACAATATTGTTCAGAACTGATTACAGATTTCTCTAAACATCAAGAAATGAGAAAACACATAAAATGTTTATCACATCACAGACAGAGATTAGGAGAGTGGTTGTGGGGTGTGGGGGGAAAGAGGGGAGGGGGAACGAGTCCTGTTTGATTGGGGGGGGGGTGTGGGATGTGCAAAGGAGCTGGAACTTTGGGGAAACTAACCACCTCTTCCTTGTTTTATTGTTCCCTTCTCCTCCTTCCCGCCCTCTCTCTCTCTCTCCATCTTTATTCCCTCTCCATAAGTTTTGGTGGTTGGGGAGGGAGGGAGAAGGACGGAATGTGATAGAGAGAATGAAAAACCGGAGAATCCAGAGAAGGAGTGAATCTCTCCTGTGGGGAGTGGGAAGTGGCGGAGCTGATCCCACGCAGCGAAGCTCCACATTCCTCACATTCTTCACCTTATGCACCTGGTGCTACGGGGAAAAGTGTTCCCTCCCGCACTTTCCTTCCTGTGCAACAGGGAAAGGACGACCCCCCCCATCCCCACATCCTCCCATTGTGATGGGAAAAGGGGTTCCCCCCCCCTACTAACCCTCATCCAACACACTCTCCATTTCCTGGGGTGACGGGGAAATTAGCCGCGATGATGGGGCTTCTTATTTTGCCCCGATTTCACTGCAGCACAAATCACACAGAATAAACTTTTTTTACAACATTAAATATCTCCCCATCATCCAAACTGGTAACATTTACAACATAGAAGAAAATGGCGGAGAGAGGAGGGGAAGAGAGAGAGGAGGGGGGGGGGGTGCGGAGGGTCACAGCCAGGGGAGAGGGGGAAAGAGCGAGGGGGGGAAAGAGAGAGAGAGGGGGGAGGGCGGTAATAATTAAAGCGATGGTGGGGTTATAGCGATGGTCACAGACTCTCTGCTCAGCGCACCATGTATTCTCTCCTCTTGTTGAGCCGGACCTGACAGAAGGAGAATCCTCCGAGCACGAAGTACATCCCGGCCGCGATGAAGCAGTTATAGCTGACCTGCTCGTACAACTTATAAATCCTCTGTGGGCCGGTCTTACTGCGGGGAGACAGAGAGAGAGAGAGAGAGAGAGAGAGGTTGTTAGTCAACAACAACAACAACAACCACCACCTGCATTTACACTTGAGAGTGGCGGAGCAGGACTCCGATCGGGGGGAGGGGGAGGTGACTGTAGACACGGTCGAAGAGGAAAATCTTCAGGCACGACCGGAAGATGGCGCAGGAAGGGGCGAGGCAGAGGGGCAGAGGGAGAGAGTGACAGGGCGCCCATCAGCCACTTGCTCCCTCCGCACCCCATAGCCAGGCTCCCCCACCCCCTCGTCCTCGCTGATTAAAACCCGCCCTCCACCCTCTCCCTCACTCTCTCTCTCTCTCACCTGTCTTCAAAATCAGCCTCAGTAAAAGGCACATCCTCGATCAGCACAGCCGAGTGGACATTGAAGAAGATCCCGAGGAGAACCTGTCACAGGAGAGAGGGAGAGAGAGAGACAGGCGTGACCACAACACGGGAAGAACACACATCAACAGGCGGAGGGACAAGCGTTGGCCGCAGAGGAACAGGAGGAGGCCATTCAGCCCCTCGAGCTTCTTCCGCCATTCTATTAGACCATGGCAGATCCGTGTAATAATAATAATAATAATAATCGCGGCATCCGACCCGGCGCCTGATCACGTCCTCGAGACGTCTCAAAGCGCTTCGCAGGACACACTGCCGAGTGTAGTGACTGTGTGTTTGCGGGCGAAACGCGGCAGCCGATCGCGCACAGCGACGTCCGCACAAACAGCCGCGGATTAGAACCAAACTGTCATTGTTTTGGAAGGGATTATTACCCCCGAAAAGTGATTCCCCAATCGCCCGACAACCGGGTTCCCACTGACCGCCGGGGAACAGGTGTGTGTGTGTCCCCCCTCCCCCCCTCCTCTACACCCCCTCCTCCCCCCCTCCTCTACACCCTCTCCCCTCCCCCTCTACACTCATTCCCCCTCCTCCCTCCCCCCTCCTCTCCCCCGCAGTTACTTTCACATCCTCAGCTCATGTCAATTTCCTGTTCATTTCCCGTGGGGGGGCTATGGGGGGTGGGGGGGGTGTGGGGGGTGGGGGGGGTATGGGGGCTGTGGGGGCTATGGGGGTGGGGGGGCTGTGGGGGGAGGTACAGGGGGTCAGTGAGTGTAGTGTGACAGGGAGCCTGTGGGGGGGCGGTGTGACAGTGAGCGGGTGAGTGTGAGCGGGTGTGAGTTGCTGTGACAGTGAGTGTGAGGGCCTCTGACCAACATGATGACCCCCCAGATGGTGTGTGTGTGTGAGTGGGTGTGAGTGTGAGCGGGTGTGAGCGGTGTGAGGCTGACCAGCATGATGACCCCCAGATGGTGTGAGTGTGAGCGGGTGTGAGTGTGAGTGTGAGCAGTGTGAGTGGGTGTGAGCGGGTGTGAGCGGTGGGTGTGAGCGGTGTGAGGCTGACCAGCATGATGACCCCCCAGATGGTGTGAGTGTGAGCGGGTGTGAGTGTGAGTGTGAGGGGTGTGAGCGGTGGGTGTGAGCGGTGTGAGGCTGACCAGCATGATGACCCCCCAGATGGTGTGAGTGGTGTGAGCGGTGTGAGGCTGACCAGCATGATGACCCCTCAGATGGTGTGAGTGTGAGGGGGTGTGAGTGTGACAGTGGGTGAGTGTGAGTGGGTGAGTGTGAGTGGGTGTGACAGTGGGTGTGAGGCTGACCAGCATGATGACCCCCCAGATGGTGTGAGTGTGAGTGTGAGCAGTGTGAGGGGGTGTGAGTGTGAGTGGGTGTGAGTGGTGTGAGCGGGTGTGAGCAGTGTGAGTGGGTGTGAGCGGTGTGAGGCTGACCAGCATGATGACCCCCCAGATGGTGTGAGTGGTGTGAGCGGGTGTGAGCGGTGTGAGGCTGACCAGCATGATGACCCCCCAGATGCTCAGGACGATACCACACGCCGCCAACTTGGGACCACAGCAAAGCAGCGACGCCATCGCTCCGAACCCCGGACACCGGAACCGGAAACCCCCCCCGCGGGAGCGACCACAGCCTGAGGGGGGGGCACCGAACCCCCCCACACCCCCACACACCCCAAACCCCATCAAACCTCCTCCCGACCCGCACCGCCGGCAATTCACTAACTCCCCACCTCCTCCCGAGCGAAGCAAACCCCCCCCTCCCCCCACTGACTGTAACCCGCCATCACTGTACCGTCCGCCCCTGTCCTGTGCTCACACAGTGGTACAGTCCGCACAGCGCCGCGTCCTGACATCGGAGTCACCTGATCCTTAAAGCGGGAACGTGTGTGTGTGTGGGGGGGGGGGGGGGAGGGGTGTGTGGGTGTGGGGGGGAGAGGGGTGTGTGTGTGTGGGTGGGGGGTGATTGAGGTTTTGCTGTGTACAATCGTGCCACCCCCCCCTCCCCAAATGGCCCAAACCATTTACGGTCTATAGACTGAAAATTGCTGCTGGTCAGACAACAACAACTTGTGTGGCGGAGTCCCAGAGGAGGGAGGGGGGGGACGGAGGGGGGAGAGGGGGGAGAGGGGGGAGGGGGGGGGGAGGGGGAGGGGGGGGGGCGGTGACCGTGAGCCGCGGTCGATGAGGAAAGGAGGACATCCCGAGGCGCTGGACAGACCCGAGCTGGGGGTGGGGGTGGGGGTGGGGGAGGATGGAGGGCGGTGGGAGGGGAATGGGGGGGAAGCACATTGCCACCACTTCAAGTCCAAACGAGTAATCATTAACCTGTGTGGGGCACTGTGGCTCAGCGGTTAGCGAGAGGACCCGGGTTCGATTCCCCCCCCCCACCACCCCCGACATCCCCCCCCCCCCCCACCCACACACACGCACACGCACCTCTGTTTACCAGCAGTAAGTAGGAACCCGGTGGTTAGTCGATTGGCGGATCGCTTTCCGGGAGTGACAGTTCGCTCAATCCGCGGCTGTTTGTGGGGACGTCGTTGGGGGCGATCGGCTTCCGGGATTCGCCCACAAAATGCCCAGTATTTTCACTTCACTGCGTATCCTGCGAAGCGCTTTGAGACGTCTCGAAGACGTGATGGGGCGCCGGGTCAAATTCCAGGATTATAGTTATTATTGTTATCAAACACTTTGAGAGAACGTGTGTTTGTGCGGGTGAGAGGACATTGGGGGGCGGAGGGGGAGGGGGGGAAGAAATCACAAGACAAGACCCCAATGGTTACGATGAGGAGACGTTGACATTGGCCTTTTACGTTAAAGTGAAACTTTATTGGCAGTTAATGCAACAAATACATAAAACACGCAAAATTCACAGTAAACATTGAGTGGAGACAATCTTTCTCCCTCTCCCATTCCCTCCCTCTCCCATCCCCTCCCTCTCCCATTCCCTCCCTCTCCCATCCCCTCCCTCTTCCATTCCCTCCCTCTCCCATTCCCTTGCTCTTCCCCATTCCCTCTTCCATTCCCTTGCTCTTCCCAACTCCGTCGCTCGCTCCCATTCTCTCTCTCGTTCCCTCTGGCCTCCACCCTTCTTCTCCCTCTGTCCCCACTTGCCTCCTGCCACCCACCCCCATCACACCGCCCCCCCTGCCCCCCCACCCCATCACACGGCTCTGCCCCTGCCACACAGAGCTGGGCGCCCGCTCGCTCACACGTTGATGCTGCTGGCGATCTGTTTGGGCCGCAGATACTCGTATTTGATGGGAAGCCCCTTGTTCCGCTTCACGATCAGCCGGTCGATCCGGTTCAGCTCTTCCCGGAATTCCTGGATCACTTTGATCACCTCCTTCTCAGTGAAATATTCCTCGTCAAAGAATCCCAGCAGCTTCTGTACCGCAGGACAGAGGTGTGAGCGGCAAAGAGTCTGTCCTCTCAGTCACACATAAATACACAGGAACAGGAGGCCATTCAGCCACTCAAGTCTGTTCCGCCATTCTATAAGGTCATCTGCACCTCAACTCCAATTCTTAATCGTTCTACAATTAATTAATAATTAACTCAAACTGTAATTAATAATTGCTTTTAACTCATTGATAAAGATTGTTTATTTATTGACGGTTATTAATAAGTATTCATTGTTAATTAGTAATAATTTATCCATCCCCACCAATGCCCTCCTCGCTTAGCCCCTCCCTCTCGGCCCCCCCACCCCCCGGGTACTGACCTTGTCAGGGAGGGGCCGGCCCAGGTGCCAGGTGAAGGCCATCTGGATGGAGGATTGGCTGACGTCAGGGAGAGTGGCCATGATCTTCTCCATCGTCACCGAGCCCTTGGCACAGGGCGGGGGCTGGCGCATCGTACAGGGGGAGTTCGGGACCCAGCAGCACCAGTCATACTGCGGGCATCAACACAGCACACAGCGCGGGCATCAATACAGCACACAGCGCGGGCATCAATACAGCACACAGCGCGGGCATCAATACAGCACACAGCGGGCATCAATACAGCACACAGCGCGGGCATCAATACAGCACACAGCGCGGGCATCAATACAGCACACAGCGCGGGCATCAATACAGCACACAGCAAGGGAATCAATGCAGCACACAGCGCGGGCATCAATGCAGCACAATGCGGGCATCAATGCAGCACACAGCGCGGGCATCAATGCAGCACAATGCGGGCATCAATGCAGCACACAGCGCGGGCATCAATACAGCACACAGTGGGCATCAATCAACACCAACACTAACAGACAACATTCACCAATCATACTGTGGGCAGTGCCAGCATCAGCGGCAAACACACAGACATTAGCATTAACACTAAGAACAGTCGTACTGCTGGCACCAGCCAGAGACAACACAGACACCAACAGTAACAGTAACAGTAACACAGACACCAACAGTAACACAGACACCGACAGTAACACAGACACCGACAGTAACAGTAACACAGACACCGACAGCTCTGAGCCAGACGGTGGTCTGGGCTGTACCTGGCCGTTGTTAAGTGCCGAGTGCTGTGCAGAACAGGTGAAGATCGCCATCGTGAGGAACTTCCACAGCTCCTCTCTGCTCCGGAAAACCCTCGAGAATCCTGGAACACAGAGAGCAACCATCGGGATCAGGATCGGGAGTGAGTGAGGGAGCGAGGAAGTCAGTGTGTGAGTGAGTGAGTGTGTGAGGGAGGGGGGAGGGAGTGAGTGAATGTGAGTGAGTGCATATGAGTGAGAGTGAGTGAGTGTGTGAGGGAGTAAGTGAACGAGTGTGTGAGGGAGTGAGTGTGTGAGGGACTGAGTGAGTGAGTGAGTGAGTGAGTGAGTGAGTGAGTGAGTGAGTGAGTGAGTGAGGGAGGGAGGGAGGGAGGGAGGGAGGGAGGGAGTCCTTGGTACCTATATCTGGCAGCTCCTGGAAACCCTCCTCCACCACGTCTGTGAGCCAGGCTTGTAGTTCCTCATCATTCACCACATCCTGGTCAGTGAGATAGTACAGCCCCAAAACACTCTCCACGTACCTGGGCAAACAGGCAAGGATGTCATTAAATGTCAATAACAACAATAACTTACATTTAATAATAATAATAATATTAGGCGCGACCTGAAGACGGGGAAGGAAGAAACGGGGCGAGGTGCAGGGATTGAGGAAGAGTGTTCCAGAGTTTCAGGGCATAGCGGCTGAAAGGTTGACCTGACTTGCCCAGGAATCGAACCCGGGTCCTCTGGGCTTGCGAGGCCAGTGGTCTAACCCCTGAGCTACAGGACAAGGCAGAATGTCATGGACGAAGGGTGTTTGTCGTCCCTACTTGCGTATGGCAGCCCAGATAAGCAGCCCATCGTCTCGGTAATAATAGTCTCTGAGTGAGCCCACTCCGCGCTCCTCAATGTTCTCTGGGAAGCACAGTGATCTGTAGGTCAGAGCCCGGAAGCCTCTCTGGCCAAACATGACCATCCCTGGCCCCCCCGAAGCCACCACCTGCGGGAACACACCACATAGTCATTATAGTATCATATATATATATACTGTACTCACAAGTAATAATCTGCTCACTTCAACCCACGACTGTTTGTGGGGACGTCGCTGGGCGCAATTGGCTGCCCACATTTCGCCCGCATAACACACAGTCACTACACTTTACGGTGTATCCTGAGAAGCCCTTTGAGACGTCTCAAAGACGTGATCAGGCGCCGGGTCAAATGCCAGGATTGTTATTATTGGAGCGAGAAAGGAGGTCATTCAGCCGAGACCACTCACTCTCCATCACAGACCACTCAGCACACAATAATGGTAATAATCCTGGCATTGGCTCCTTATCAGTTATCATTGAGACGTCTCAAAGCGCTTCCCAGGATATACTGTAAAGTGAATTGACTATCTTTTGTGGGTGAAACACAGCAGCCAATTGCACACAGCAGTGGATTGAGAGACCACATTATTATTAATTTATTTTGTTTTTTTGAAGGGATTGTTACCCCCGGAAAGTGATCCACCAATTGACTAACAAGCAGGTTCTTACTCACTAGTAGGTAAAGGTGTGTGTGTGTGTTTGTGTGTGGAGTAAGGAAAGTTGCCCAACGTTTCACCCCAACCTGACCCGGCTGGGAATCAAACCCAGGTCCTCCCACTTGCGAGGCGAGTGCTCTAACCACTGAGCTACAGGACTCAAATACTTACTTTCGTAATGATTCCAGACTCAGACAATAGCTCAGTCCTGCCTCGCATATTAATCTCCAGTGTGAATCTGGTGTTCGGGGTGAGGAGCTAGAGAAAGAGATAGAGCGTGGGAATCATTCACTCAGCAAAGTTTTATTATCATTATTAATAAAGTTAAAAATGTGTGTAATGTACTGTACTGTGTTGGTGTTGAGTTGTGTGTGTTGGTGTTGAGGTGTGTGTTGGTGTTGAGGTGTGTGTGTGTTGGTGTTGAGGTGTGTGTGTGTTGGTGTTGAGGTTTGTGTGTGTTGGTGTTGAGGTGTGTGTGTTGGTATTGAGGTGTAAGCTGTTGTTTTTACATAGAATTACATAGAATATTCAGCACAGAAACAGGCCATTCGGCCCAACTGCTCTATGCCGGTGTTTATGCTCCACATGAGCCTCCTCCTGCCCTTCCTCAACTAAGCCTTCAAGCAGAGCCTTCTACTCCTTTCGCCCTCATGTACCTCTCCAGCTTTCCCTTAAATACATCTGTGCTATTTGCCTCAACTTCTTGTTGGCAAGTTCCACATTCCCACTACTCTCTGTGTGAAGAAATTTCTTCTAACTTCCCTATTTGATCTATTGGTGACTATTTTATATTGATGGCCCCTGGTTTTGGTCTCCCCCACAAGTGGAAACATCTTCCCTATGTCGATCCTAACCAAACCTTTCATCATTTTAAATAACTCTCTCAGGTCACCCCTCACCTTTCTTTCAAAAGAATAGTCCAAGCTTGTTCAGCCTTTCCTGATAGATATAACCTCTTAGTTCCGGTATCATCCTCGTAAATCTCCTTTGCACCCTCTCCAGTGCCTGGATATCCTTCCTATAATGTGGGGACCGGAACTGTACAGAGTTCTCCAAGTCTGGTCTAACCAAGGTTCGATATAAGTTTAGCGTAACTTCTCTGCTTTTTATTTCTAACCCTCTAGATACGAACACCAATGCCTGGATTGTTTTTATGGCCTTAATAACCTGCGTCGCCACATTTAGCGATTTATTCCTTGATAACAGATCAAATATTTCCTCTTTAGCTTCCTAATTGTTTATATGACTTCTTTCCTAACCTCTTTGTATTATTTCTTGTCATGTTCTCCCTTGTTGTGTATGTACTTAGTGAACGCCTCTTTCCTCAGTCTGCACTTTGCCCTCATGTCTTTATTCATCCTCCGTGCCTCATTACTGTTTAGTTTTATCTTGTTTTTTAGTGGAATATGTTTCTCCTGGACTTTATTGATCACTGTTTTAAACGTCTCCCAATGCTGCTCCAGCTCTTTGTTTGCCAATATTGTTTTCCAGTTTATTTTCCCGAGTTCCATTCTCATCCCCTCAAAATCAGCTTCTTTTTCAAATCTATTACCCTGGTCTTTGTCATATTCCTGTCCTTGTGAATCTTTATCTTAAACCTCATTAAGTTACGATCGCTATCGCTGTTGATGTTCCCCTACTCGCACTTCTCTCCTCTGCTCTGGTTCGTTTCCCAGCGCTAAATCCAGCAGCAGTGCTGGGGGCCTCTTACATACAGGGCAAGAAAGGAGTCCTGCACACATTGAAGGAACTCCATTCCCTTATCCCCTTTACCTAAATCTTTTGGCCAATTTATTTGGGGGTAGTGGACGTACCTTGTAGATGGGGTGCACTGCCGGCAGCTGCCTCAAGGTGGCGATGCAGAAGACCTCGCCCACCAGGTGAGCCCAACACAGGTGATTGATGATTTGATGGACTTGGAAATCCGAGCTCCTCACCCACAACTTGGCCAACAGCCAATCGTAGCTCCCGTCAGAGGGCAGGAAAATAGGGCTGTGACAGCCTGGGGTCTGGCTCAGCTGTCAATACAAGGGAGAGAGGGTGTGAGAGAGACGGACGAACACAGAGAGAGTGACGGGCAGATAGACAGACAGAGAGTGACAGAAAGAGAGAGAGAGAGAGACAGAGACAGAGACAGAGAGTACCTGGATGGCGATGGGGATGAGGGGGGAGGATGGAGGCTGGTACAGGAGACAGATGGGAGCCGCTAGGAATTGCTGTTTCCCCTGAATCACGTTGGCAGGAACTCCCTCCAGCAACTCGTAATCCACCAGGAAAATATTCCCCTTCTGTAACCAAACCACACAGTCAGTCACACCCTCTCCCTCCCCCCCTCCCCTCTACACACTCCTCCACACTCCCAGGTCAGGGTTAGAGACACAGTAACGCTCCTCTACACTGTGTGTCCACACTCCCAGGTCAGGGTTAGAGACACAGTAACGCTCCCTCTACACTGTGTGTCCACACTCCCGGGTGAGGGTTAGAAACTGATCCCGTGTGCGCGTGTGTCGTGGTGAGTTACACACAGGGACAGACCTTTATCTCCTGCTGCAGTGTGGTTCCTGGCAGTAAATCGCGGACCATTTCGTCAGTTACAGGGAATTTTTTCGGGATCTCCCAACATTTCTGGATCATGCAGGGATTACATCCATTCAGGAACTGGTAGGCAAAAAAACAGTCGTCTTGCCAGTTTTCCCTGACGAACACTGGGGGAGAGAGTGAGGAAGAGCCGGGGAGAGCAGGGGTGGGGGAGAGAGCGGGGGGGGGAGAGCGGGGGTGGGGGAGAGAGCGGGGGGAGAGCGGGGGTGGGGGAGAGAGCAGGGAGAGAGGGTGGGGGAAAAATAATTTAATTTAAGGAATATTGTCATATAATAATCCTTGCATTTGCTATAGCTCCTAATCACATGTTGTTATCACGTCTTCGAGACGTCTCAAAGCGCTTCACAAAATATACTGTAAAGTGTAGTGACTATGTGTTTCATGGGTGAAACAAGACAGCCAATTGCGCATAGCGACGTCCCATAGTCTATGCCCTGTTCAGGTGGAGTTTAAAGGTTTCATGTGGTGTTGTCGGGAAACGAGGGCATGTGGAGTAAGGAAACGTGCCTAAGGTTTCACCCTGACCTGCCCGGGAATCAAACCTGGGTCCTCTGGCTTGCGCAGTGAGCACTTGAACCACTACACTAGATGGGATGGGAAGAGTTGGAATGGGATGGGTTGGAATGGCATGGGATGGGGTGGGATGGCATGAGATGGGTTGGGATCCTGACTGTGCCCTCACCTCCAATGGGACTCTTCACTCTCCAGAAAATGCGCTCGAAATCCTGCAGACTGTCCCAGGAGGCATCCATCTTTACCACCAGCTTCTTCAGGTACAATTCCCCCAGCCTGCAGGGGTTGGGAGAGGGGGAAGAGGGGGTTAGCTCTCACACTGTGGGGTGGGGTGGGGGGGAGGGGGTTTGGCAGGGGTCGGTATACTCACACTCTGTCTAGAGAAGCCTAAAAGTCGGGGTGATGGGGAGGACGGGGAGTGTGCGTGTGGGTGGGGGAGATGTGTGTGGAGTGGACGTGTGGGGGGGAGGGGTTAGCGAGGGGGTTGGGGGGCTCTGATTCTCACGCTCTGTGTAGAGAGGTCTCAAAGTCGTGCTCCTTGGCCTGGTCAAACTTGACGTCCAGAGGCAGGTCATCCTCAGTGTCCGCGTCAATGCACTTAGGAGTGGAGTAATTCCACAGTCTCCACCTGCCAGGGACACAGTGTCAGTGTGTGTATGGGTGTGTGTGATACTGTGTTAGCGTGTGTGTGTGATACTGTGTTTGCGTGTGTGTGTGTGTGATACTGTGTGTGTGTGATACTGTTAGTGTGTGTGATACTGTATTAGTGTGTGTGTGTGTGATACTGTGTTAGTGTGTGTGTGTGTGATACTGTGTTGGTGTGTGTGTGTGATACTGGGTTAGTGTGTGTGTGATATGGTGTTAGCGTGTGTGTGCGTGTGTGTGTGTAAGTACGTGTATGTTACCTGTACAGTGACTGTCTCTCCTGTAACTCTTCCCTCCGATGGTTTAGAAGTACAGGCAACCGCTCGTCACACAGCCTCACTGCTGTGAAAACACAGAAAACAGGGACAGACGTCAAATATCTGGGGTTGGGGTGAAGAGCGGGGTGGGGGTTGGGGTTAGAGGTTGGGGGGTGGTTGGGGTTGGGGAGGTTGGGGTTAGAGGTTGGGGGGTGTGGTTGGGGTTAGAGGTTGAAGGCGTGGTTGGGGTTAGAGGTTGGGGTTGGAGGAGGTTAGGGGAAGGGGTTGGGGTTGGCGGTTGGGTTGGGGGTTTGGGGTTAGAGGTTGGGGGGTGGTTGGAGTTGGGGTGGGGGTTAGAGGTTGGGGTGATGGTTGGGGTTGGGGGTTTGGGGTTAGAGGTTGGGGGGATGGCTGGGTTGGCGGTTTGGGATTAGAGGTTGGGTTGGGATTGGGGTTAGACGTTATGGGGGGTGGTTGGGTTGGGGGTTGAGGTTAGAGGTTGGGGGGGTGGTTGGGGTTGGGGGTTAGAGGTTGGGGGAGTGGTTGGGGTTAGAGGTTGGGGGGGTGGTTGGGGTTGGGGGTTGGGGTTTGGGGGGTGGTTGGGGATTGTGGGGGTGGTTGGGGTTGGGTTGGGGGTTTGGGGTTAGAGGTTGGGGGGGTGGTTGGGGTGGGGGTGGGGTTGGATTGCCCAGACTTACCCGGACCCTCTCTGATGTGGACCCTGGCCTCCTCGCTGAGCCAGCGGTAACAAGGGAAGTGCCGTGTGTCTCCCCCGGGGGTCGTTACCGTCACATACAGACAGAACCAGTCGTCCTCCAGCCCCAGAAACTTCTCCTTGTCCAACTTGACCAGCAGCACAGCCCCAAGGTCGACCTCGCTGCCCACCTCATACTCCCCGACCTACCAACAACTGCACACGTCAATAATACTCCAACACACACCCTGACACACACCCTGACACAGAGAGAGAGAGAGTGAGTGAGAGAAAGAGGAGTGAGAGAGAGGAGAGAGAGAGAGGGTAATTGAGTGAGTTTTTGCTGCGGTGACTTGATCGTTGCTATTATAAACAAGTGAGGACAAGCCTCGACAGACACAGCCTTTGCAAGAAACCTGATGAGTTTGTAATATCAGCTTCGGGTAAAGAAAGGCCTTATTTCCCGCTGAACTCCTTGTTCCCCCATCACGGCTTCCAGCTGCGGTTTAAATCTTATCACGTCTTGAAGACGTGATAAGAGGCGTTATATCAAACGCAAGGGATTATTATTGTATCTCAAAGCGCTTCACAGGATATACTGTCAAGCGGAGTGACTCTGTGTTTTGTGGGAGGAACCCGGCAGCCAATCTCGCCCAGCGACGTCCCCACAAAGTCACGGATTGAGTGACCACATTATTATTACTATTTTATTTATTTGACAGGACAATTACCACGGGAAAAGCAATCCATTGTCGGCTGATTCAGGGTCCTACTTACTGCCAAATAAACAGTGTTGGTGTGTGTCTGTCTGTGTGTGGAGTCAGGAAACTTGAGTAAGGTTTCGCCCTGTCCTGACTGCCCGGGAATTGAATCCACATCTCTGTTGCTTGTCAGACGAGGGCTCTAATTACTGAGCTATAGGGAGTCTACTAAGTTCCCTCTGGATAAGGAAACACTTACCAGTGTCTGTCCTGTCCTGAAATTGTGCTTTACACCCTCTAAACCCGTGGCCTCTTGTTCTCCTGTCTCGATGCGCCCGAGAGTATTGATTCATTGCATTGATACTTTGACAATCCTGTTTAAAATATTACGCCACCTCTGTGAGGTCCTCCGAGACGTCGGCTCTCAGGCCAGGAACAAAGTGCTTTCGTAAGCAGTTAGAGGTAACCATTGGACGTGAAATGTTTTGAAATCTCCCTGTAATCTCCCCGATTTAACTCTAAAACGAGGCCCTCTTCACTGACTCACTAACCCACCAGTGGAAATAATTTCTCCCCTATTAAACCTCACTCCCCGGCTGTGCCCGTTCAGGTGGACGTTAAGGATCTCCCGGGGCATTATCGGGGGAAGAGAAGGGAGCTGTGCATAAGATTGGCTGGCGCGCTCGTCCGCGAAGCGCACAGTCACTACGCTTCACAGTGAATCGTCAGCCTGATAAGATATCCAACGTGAGGATTGTTATTGTAATTCATGCTAAATTCCTGCCCGCAGGGCTGTAGAATGTTCTAGAAGATAGGAGCAAGAGAGCCTGCAGCAGAATACGGACTGCGAGAGTCGGGCAGATATTCTCGGGCGTCCGTGGGAGAGAAAGCGGGAAATAGGAATTGAAAGGATTAGTTGATCAGCCATGAGCTAATTAAATGGCAGAACGTGAAGAGGGCGTCATTTTAGAGTTAAATTGGGGAGATTACAGGGAGGTTTCGAAACATTTCACGTCCAATGGTTACCTCTAACTGCTTACGAAAGCACTTTGTTCCTGACCTGAGAACCGATGTCTCGGAGGACCTCACAGAGGTGGGTAATATTTTAAACAGGATTGAGTGAGTGAGTGAGTGAGTGAGTGTAAGTATGTGAGTGGGAGTGAGTGAATGTAAGTATGTGAGTGGGTGAGTGTAAGTATGTGAGTGGGAGTGAGTGAGTGAGTGTAAGTATGTGAGTGGGAGTGAGTGAGTGAGTGCGAGGGAGGGAGGGAGGGAGGGAGAGTGTCGTGTCCAGGCTGGTTGTGGGCTGGAATGTTTGCCAGGAGCAGAAACACAAGGTGCTTTCATTAAGCAGTTAGAGGTGTCCATCCCCTTCCCCAGAAACTCCACGTCTGTTTGTGTGTTTAACGGGAGCAACGGGAACATCAACAGCACTCCGTGTCTTCCCCTCAGCCCCAGGCCCTGGACATCACAGATTGGCCCCAAGTGGGTGGTTAAACTCAATGCTCCGGTGACTACAACCCTAATAATCCTGACATTTGATACAGGGTTTCTTTACACTGTCGTCGAGACATCTCAAAGCCCTTCACAAGGACGCACTGTAAAGTGAAGTGTCTGTGCGTTTTGTGGGCGAAACGCGGTGCGGGAGAGGACACGAGCTGCAGGAGCTCTGGGTTATCTGTGGAGGGAAGTGTTGTGAAGCCCGGCTATCGAGGGCTAGCGGTCACTGGGCCATATTTAACCCTCACATTGACAACGCAGATAAACCATCGCTGCCGCAGGAAGGGAAGGGAAGGAAACTCGGATGGATGTTTCCCTCAGATAAACCCTTGTGTATGGCTCAATACCTTTCACCTCCGGGGGGGACGTCTCAAAGCGCTTCACATGACTCACTGTAAAGTGTAGTGACTGTGTGTGACCCGGCTGATTTGCCCAGCGACATCCCCCCTGGAAGGGCAGACCGACCGGTCACTGGGGGCAGGGAATCCTCCCCCTCAGCTCCTGTTAACACCACAGCCAAAGCCCCAAATAACTAACGGGGAGAGTGGACAAGCAGCGGGAAAGCTGGCCATCAATTTCAAGCCGTGCGGTTTTAACAGGAAACAAAACACTTAGCAGCTCTTATTAGTGGAGTCCTGTAGCTCAGTGGTTAGAGCACTCACCTCGCGAGCGAGGAACTGGGTTCAATTCCTGATCAGTGCAAGACCTGAGGCAAGTTTCCTTACTCCACACACACGCGCACACACACACGCGCACACGCACACCCATGTTTACCCAGCAGTAAATAGGATCCTGGTTGTTACTATTGGTGGATCGCTTTCCTGGGGTTAATAATCCCTTCAAAAAAAAATTCAATAACTTGGTCACTCAATCACCCACGTCGGGTTTGTGGGGACATGGCCGGGTGCGATCGGCTGCCGCCTTTCGCCCACAAAGTGTACAGTCACTTCACTTTGCAGCATATCCCGTGAAGCGCTTTGAGACGTCTCAAAGACGTGATGAGGCGCCGGGTCAAATCATGGATTCTTTTAGCACAGGATTATTATGAATAATCTCAGGGATTAGGTAAACAGGGTGTGTCTCTCTCTCTCTCCAGAGAGAGATAGGAGGCATTCCATTTCAGACACAGGAATTTCTCTCTGAAACTCACCGATCCTCTCTCCAAGTCGTTACAGAATGGCCGGTCCAGGTTGACCCTGCGACTCTCGCCCCTCTCGCCCACCAGCGTGATGTAAATGTAGTTGTTGGTTCCCGAATATTTTGAGGTCCCGGTGGCCACCGTTACTCTGTAATTGAACATGTTCCGAGCTACAGGAGCTGCGTGTGCGTGTGCTTGTCTGTGTGTCGCTCTGTGTCTGTGTGTCTCTCACTGTGTCTCTGTGTATCTGACTCTATCTCTGTTTCTCTCACTGTGTCTCTGTGTGTGTGTGTCTCTGTGTCTCTAACTCTCTCTGTGTCTCTAACTCTGTGTGTGTGTCTCACTTTGTATGTATGTGTATATATCTCTCTTCACTCTCTTGCTCTCTGTCTCCTTTTGTGTGTGTGTGTGTTTCTCTCTCTCACGGTGTCTCTCTCTCTCACGGTGTCTCTCTCTCTCACGGTGTCTCTCTCTCACGGTGTCTCTCTCTCACGTTGTCTCTCTCTTTCTCTCTGTCTCTTCTCCCAGCGTGTTCTCGCTATTACTCTGCGTGTACCTCTCTGTTCTCCGCGTCTCTGGCAGCGCGTGTGTGTGCGTGTGCGCGTCTCTCTCTATCGCTCGCTCCCTCTCTCTCTGGGCTGTGCACAGCTAGTAATGTAGTAATCTTAGGCAGAGAGGGGTGTGTTCTGTGACTGCAGAATCTGGGAGGCGTTTCACCAAATTGCCCACGGTGTGGTTAGTCTGCAGACTGTTTACCCTGGGAGGCAACTAGTCACAAACTAACACAGTACAAAAGTACAAAAGAAAGCACCATTTACACAGCGGTTTCCACGTCCCGAGGCGCTGGACAGTCAGGGATTTGGACCAGAGCTGGGGATTGGTGTCGGGGTGGTGGGGGGGTGGTGTGTGGAGGTCAGGGAGGGTGACCGAAGGTGCGGTTGGTCGAAGAGGAGGGCCTTCAAGGAGGCGAGGGAGCGGGCGAGGTGGAAGGGCCGTGGGATGGAGTTCCAGAGGGTGGGGGCAGAGAGGATGAAAGACGGACTGTTGATGATGGGGTGGGGTGTGCAGCAGCCAGAGCCCCACGGAGCGGAGGCAGCAGACAGGTTGATGAGGGGTTAGCAGGTCACAGAGGTAGGAAGGAGGTATGTGATGCCACTCACACACACATAAACTCACACATACACTCACACAGAGACACGCACACATACTGATACACACACAAAGACACACACACATACACACTCACACACACACTCAGAGACATTCACACAGACACACATACTCCCACAGAGACACCCATACACTCGCACACACAGTCACACATACACTCGCTCAGTCAAGCACACACACAGACACACACGGGCACTCACACACAGACCCACACAGGCACTCACACACAGACCCACACAGGCACTCACACACAGACCCACACAGGCATTCACACACAGACCCACACAGGCACTCACACACAGACACACACGGGCACTCACACACAGACCCACACAGGCACTCGCACACAGACCCACACAGGCACTCACACACAGACACACGCAGGCACTCGCACACAGGCACTCGCACACAGACCCACACAGGCACTCGCACACAGACCCACACAGGCACTCGCACACAGACCCACACAGGCACTCACACACAGACCCACGCAGGCACTCGCACACAGACCCACACAGGCACTCGCACACAGACCCACACAGGCACTCGCACACAGACCCACACAGGCACTCGCATACAGACCCACACAGGCACTCGCACACAGACCCACACAGGCACTCGCACACAGACCCACACAGGCACTCGCACACAGACCCACACAGGCACTCACACACAGACCCACACAGGCACTCACACACAGACCCACGCAGGCACTCGCACACAGGCACTCGCACACAGACCCACACAGGCACTCGCACACAGACCCACACAGGCACTCGCACCACAGACCCACACAGGCACTCGCATACAGACCCACACAGGCACTCGCACACAGACCCACACAGGCACTCGCACACAGACCCACACAGGCACTCGCACACAGACCCACACAGGCACTCGCATACAGACCCACACAGCTGTAAAACAATTGGCAATTTAATTCTAGTAATCTCTGACGAACACAGAATCTGTTACAGTCACAACAATAATAATCCTGGCATTGGACACAGCGCCTTCTCACATCTTCGAGACGTCTCAAAGCGCTTTACAGAAGATACTGTGAAGTGAATTGACTGTATATTTTGTGGGTGAAACCCGGCAGCCAATTGCGCACAGCAGTGTCCCCGCAAACAGCCGCGGGTTGTTATCATTTTGTTTCAACATTTTTTTTGAGGGGTTTATTACTCCCGGAAAAGCGATCTCCCAATCAACAAACAGCCAGATTCCTGCTCACTGCTGGTAAACAGAGTGTGTGTTTGTGTGTGTGTGGAGTAAGGAAACTTGCCCAACGTGCGTGTGGTGTATATTAGGTGTGTATATGGAGTGTGTACACAATACAAATGACATGTACGCAGTATTATATGATGAGGACGTGTACACAGTATTATATGATGAGGAGCTGGGCGCTGGGAGACCACACTGAATGTATATGAGGTTTATAGAGAGTGTGTGTACGTACAGTATATGAGGTGTGTACACAGCATTCTATGGAGTGTGTACACAGTATTATATGGATTGTGTACACAGTATCATATGGAGTGTGTACACAGTATTATATGAATTATGTACAGAGTATCATATGGAGTGTGTACACAGTATTATATGATGAGCTGGGCACTGGGAGGAGAGATTAACACTGTATGTATATGAGGTTTATATACAGTGTGTGTAGTACCGTGTATATGAGGTGTGTACACAGCATCATATGGAGTGTGTACACAGTATCATATGGAGTGTGTACACAGTATTACATGATGAGGAGCTGGGCGCTGGTGGGGAGACCACAGGCTTCTTTATGTTGGTTGAAGAGCTCAGTAACAGCCGCCACATACAGACTGTGATAGTGGTCAACATCAGCCTGACTGGGGCAGTGGGTCTGTGTCACAGGGATAGGAGCTCCCACTGAGAGAGAGAGAGACAGAGAGAGAGGGTGAGACACAGCCACAGAGAGTGAGACACAGCCACAGAGAGTGAGACACAGCCACAGAGAGTGAGACACAGCCACAGAGAGTGAGACACAGCCACAGAGAGTGAGACACAGCCAGAGAGAGAGTCAGACACAGCCAGAGAGAGTGAGACACAGCCACAGAGAGAGTGAGACACAGCCAGAGAGAGTGAGACACAGCCACAGAGAGTGAGACACAGCCAGAGTGAGAGTCAGACACAGCCAGAGAGAGTGAGACACAGCCACAGAGAGAGTGAGACACAGCCACAGAGAGTGACACAGCCACAAAGAGAGAGTGAGACACAGCCACAGAGAGAGAGAGTGTGACACAGAGTGTGTGAGAGAGACAGAGACCGAGAGACACAGACACACACACACACACACACACAGACGTACCGAAGGTGGTGAGGGGCTGGGGGTTGGGCAGGAGACCCCAGCCTCGGGTGAAGAGACCCTGGCCACGGATCAGACACGGAGCGAAGCCGATCAACTGCTGGAAGCCTTTCTGTAGCCACTGAGCCCACCCGCCATCAGCCAGGACCACCTGCTCATACAGGGAATTCTCCCCAAAACAGTACACAGGCACCAGGTCAGCTCTGGGGGGAGAAAGAGACAGAGAGAGTGTGAGAGAGACAGAGAGAGAGAGTGAGAGAGACACAGAAAGAGTAAGAGAGAGTGTGTGGGGGAAGCCAGAGCGGGTCAGAGCACGGATGTGGGGAGGACAGTTGAGGGTCGAACAAGACACCCAGGTTCCTGACCGGCCGGTGAGGTGGGGTGTGAATCTGGGGAAGGTGATGCTGTCAGAGCCTGAGGTGCGGAGGCGCTGACGGGATCCATCAGGAGAGCCTCGGTCTTGCCAACCGCGCCCAGCGACGTCCCCACAAACAGTCGTGGATTCAGTGACCAAATTATTATTTTTTTTTTGAAGGGATTATTACCCCCGGAAAGTGATCCCCCAATCGACTTGACAAGCGGGTTCCTACTGACTGCCGGGGACACAGGCGTCTGTGTTTCTGTGTGTCTGTGTGTGTGTCTGTCTGTCTGTGTGTATGTCTGTGTCTATCTGAGTCTGTCTGTGTGTGTCTGTGTCTATCTGTGTGTGTCTATCTGAGTCTGTGTGTGTCTGTCTGTGTGTGTACAGTAAGGAAACTTGCCTTAGGTTTCGCCCCAACCTGACCCACTTGTGTAGTGACTGTGAGGTGTAGTGACTGTACGGGGGGCTTACCCATGTTCGAGGGCCAGCCTGACAAAGCCCTTGCGGTGTTTAAGGATGATGGCGTGGACTCCAGTCCTGGTCAGCGCCTCAGCCGCCCCCCCCACCACGATCACCACGGCATTGCCCACCCCACTCCGAGCCAAGAGGTGAGTCACACTGCGCTTATTGACAGAGCAAACCCCTGCCGGGAAACTGGCTGTCAGCCTGTCACACCCACACACACCCGCGCCCAGTGTTTCCCGGCATTCCCAGTGTTTCCCAGTGTGTACGGCATTCCCAGTGTTTCCCAGTGTGTACGGCATTCCCAGTGTTTCCCAGTGTGTACGGCATTCCCAGTGTTTCCCAGTGTGTACGGCATTCCCAGTGTTTCCCAGTGTGTACGGCATTCCCAGTGTTTCCCAGTGTGTACGGCATTCCCAGTGTTTCCCAGTGTGTACGGCATTCCCAGTGTTTCCCAGTGTTTTCTGGCATTCCCGCACTGTCTCACCGACACTCATGACGTATTCCCGGAACAGCGGCAGGCGGAAGAGTCCCTGCAGCACGACCAGGCGGGGAGTGATTCCCGGGAAAAGCCGTGAGAAGCCGGTGGCCTCGGTGCCGAAGTTACAGAAGGCTCCAGTGGCCAGAATCCCGTGAGGGTGGTATCCCAGCACGTAATTCCTGTCCCTCGGCAACTCCGCCGTCTTCACCAGCTGCCAACAACAACAACAACAACAACAACGTCAACAACAGTCATATTTAACAGTCCCACCTTTCATGTTGGAGGATGTCCTGAGGGCAGTGGAGACCCACAGAGCGATCAGTGATAACTCCCTCTCTGTAAACAGCCGCTGACATCGCACACACTCACACTCTCACACGCACACTCATACACACAAAGTCTCACGCACACTCACACACACACACTCTCACGCACACTCACACTCTCACAAACTCACACACACTTTCACACACACACTCACACACACAAACTCACACTCACACACACACACACAAACTCACGCACACTCACACTCACAAACACACACACACTCACATACACACAAACACACACACTCACACTCTTACACACTCAAACTAACACACACACTCTCACACACTCACTCTCACACACACACACGCACCGTAATGGGGAAATAATCTCTCAGAAATTCCCATGTTCGCCATCTCCTCACCCAGTCTGACTTCCTTCCACCTGTAACACACACACACACACACACAGAGTTACGTGTGTGTGTCTGTCAATGTGTGTATATGTCTGTCGATGTGTGTGCGGGCGTGTGACGCTGAGTTGGTTGACGAGCGAGTGCACAGTCACTACACCTGGTGTTGGTGTGGAACATACCTCTCTCTGGGGTTCTCCAGTCAAACACCATCCAGACTCCATACAGTGCAGTCAGAGGCCAGAGCGGTGTGAGCAACAGGTACAGTGTTAGCAGCGTACACAGCGGGCCTGAGGGGAAACACAGTCACTTACTCCCTGACCGACACATGGTCACTCACTCCCTGACCAACACGGTCACTCACTCCCTGACCAATACAGTCACTCACTCCCTGACCAACACAGTCACTCACTCCCTGACCAACACAGTCACTCACTCCCTGACCAACACACTCACTCCCTGACCAACACGGTCACACTTCCCTGTTCACCCCCCCAACACATCCCAGTCTCCCACACACTCTTTCCATCCACCTCCTCAGCCAACAACAACAACACACGATATTTACACGGTGACGGTCAGGTTAAGAGGAAGTCCCAAGGCTTTGGATGGTCAGTGAATTTGGACCCAAGCTGGGCTTGGGATCAGGAGGGGATGGAGGGCAGGGAGGGTGTGGATAGGTGGGTGGAGGACGGGGGTAGGAAGGTGGAGGGTGAGGGTAGGAGGGTGGAGGGCAGGGAGGGTGAGGGTGGAGGGCAGGGAGGGTGGAGGGCAGGGAGGGTGGAGGGCAGGGAGGGTGACCGAAGGCACAGTTGGTTGAAGAGGAAGGTCTGGAGACATGTCTTGAAGAAGGCGAGGGAGGGATGGAGGAAGATGATGATGATGAAGGAGATGAGTCCATCGGGGAGAGGGCTCTAACACAGGGCGGCAGGTCACAGGGCTCCCGGGGGGTGGGGAGGGGGAGTGTGATGGGCGTGTGCCTGATGGAGGGCGGGGAGACTGGAGAGAACAAGGACACTTGTACAGACCCAACACCAGGAAGGTTAACACGATTTGCAGCATATTCAGCCGCTTCAGCAACGAGGAGCTCATCCTGGCCAGGACTTCCTGAGGGGGAGAAATCCGGTTAATAACCGCAAGCAACCGGGCAGATCAACCGGGAAACCAGTCACCGCGACCAGCCGAGTGTCTGACACACGCACACACACACGGAAACCGGTCACCGCGACCAGCCGAGTGTCTGACACACACACACACACACAGAGTGCTGTCTGGCCAAGCTTTCCCGCTGCTTGTCCAGCTAGGATCCCCCTCCCCGTTAGTTAATTAGTTAGTTAGGGCTTTGGCTGTGGGGTTAACAGGAGCTGAGGGAAATTTAACTTGAAATGCAGTACAGTAAACTCCTGATAACTCTTTCAAGGGAAAATAATAATAATCCTCGCATTCGATACAGCGCCTTATCACGTCTTTGAGACGTCTCAAAGCGCTTCACAGAATATACTGCAAAGTGGTTTGCACTGAGTATTTTGTGGGCGAAACACGGCAGACAATTGCGGCATCCCACAGTCGTGGATCGAGTGACCGCATTATTTTTGCGAGACAGAGGTGTGGGTGTGGGTGTGTGCGCGGAGGAAGGAAACTTGCATAATGTTTGGCTCACCCTCCCAGGAACTCTCGCTTTACGAGACGAGCTCTCTAACCACTGTGCTACAGGACACCGCGAGCGAAACAGGCTGAGTGACCAGTTATCAGGAGCGGCGAGTGTATAAATATGTCAATAAATGCAGTCGGGACATTGACACCGACACAAGTTAAGGCAGTGTTGAGTTTCCTGTAGAAGGTTCTAATCTATCGCAATCTATACCACAATGACACTGAGACTAACACGGACACTGAGAGTGAAACTGACTCTGACACTGAGAGTGAAACTGACTCTGACACTGAGAGTGAAACTGACTCTGACACTGACACTGACACTGAGAGTGAAACTGACTCTGACACTGAGAGTGAAACTGACTCTGACACTAACACTGACACTGAGAGTGAAACTGACTCTGACACTGAGAGTGAAACTGACTCTGACACTGACACTAACACTGACATTAACACTCACACTCACACTTACAGAATGTCTGACAGGAACTCACCCGGCTGACAGTCAGTGTCTGTCCTTCCTGGCTCCTTCCCACCGATCACAGCTCCAACTCTCTCTCTGCCTGCAAAACATACAGTCACTACACTACAGTGAGTCCTGTGAACCGCTTTGAGACCTCTCCTCCCGGGGTCAAATGCCAGGACTCCAGTTAGAGGTTTAAACACCCAAGGTTTTTAAATGGGAAAAAAATTAAGATAATCATCTCTTTCCCAACCTCTCTCACCCTCCTTCCTTCTCTCACTTCCTCCCTCCCTCCCTCTCTCTCTCTTCTTCTCTCTCTCCCGTGCTCTCTCTCTCCCCTGCTCTCTCTCTCTCCCTCCTTCACTCTCCCCCCCACCCGTCTCCCTCCCTCCTCTCTCTCTCTCCCCCTTTCCTCCTCACCTTGTCTCTCTCTCCTACCTCCCCCCTTCTCTCCTCTCCTCTCTCTCTCCCCCTTCTCCCCACTCTGTCTCTCTTTCCCGCCCTCACTCCGTCTCTCCTTTCCTCCCTCTGTCTGCACCTCCCCCGCTCTTTTCCTCCCGTTGTCTCTATCCCCCCCTCCCCTCTCTGTCTCCCCCCAACCCCCCACCCCTGGGGTCTAACCCTGAACAGAGGGGATACCTGGGCTCGAGTCCTGGGTTGTGCTGTTTGAGAACCAGGCACTTTGACCCTGGACCCAAAGGCTAGAGATAAAGGCAATAAAGACCTCAGTGAAGCTGTGAGATTGGAGCTGATAACACAGTCACTGCATTGACACATACAGTGTGTCCCGTGAAGCACTTTGAGACGTCTCAAAGACGTGATAAGGCGCCGGGTCAAATGCCAGGATTATTATTGTCGATGATGAGAAATCGCTACCCCCTGAGCCCAAGTGGTTCTCATAGTCAAAGTTAGTACGTGGGACGTCCTCCCGACGTGAAAGGCGCTCAATAAATGGAATCTTGTTGTTGTTGTTGTTGTAGTAAAAACTTATTTAAACTTAGTCTAAGATGGAAGAGGTTAATAAGTTAATTACAGGTTGCAAAAAAGTTAGTAGAAGTTAGTAGAGTTTAGTAAAAAGCGAGTGTGTGGAGAGGCAGTGTGTGTGCATACTGTTGTCTTGTCTGGAGGTTGGTTTTGGGACAGGTGATTACAGCTTGTGAGAGGGGAGGGGAGACAGTGGGTGTGTGTGTTTGGCCAGGGAGAGGGGAGGGGAGAGAGGAAAGGGGGTGGAGGGGAGGGGGAGAGAGCGAGACTGTCCGACCCTTTGGCCAGTCCGGTCACCATGAAGATACAATTCGCCCCATTAAACCTACCACTGGAGCGGAGATTGCAAACTCTGGGAGTTCTCCAGTGGGTATTCTCCTTTATAGCTTTAGGTGAGTAATGCACACTCACACACACACTCATTCACACACACTCACACACTCACACACACACTCATTCACACACACTCATTCACACACACACTCGCACTCATTCACACGCACACACTCACACACATTCACTCATACACTTACACTCATTCACACACACTCATTCACACGCACACACACTCATTCACACACACACTCGCACTCATTCACACACACTCGCACTCATTCACACACACACTCGCACTCATTCACACACACACTCGCACTCATTCACACACACTCGCACTCATTCACACACACACTCGCACTCATTCACACACACACTCGCACTCATTCACACACACACTCACACTCATTCACACACACACTCACTCATTCACACACACTCACAGTCATTCACACACACTCACAGTCATTCACACACACAGTCATTCACACACACAGTCATTCACACACACACACACACCTCTGTTCACCAGCAGTAAGTAGGAATCCGCTTGTTAGTCGATTAACAGATCGCTTTCCGGGGGTAATAATCCCTTCAAAACAAAAATGTGGTGGCTCAATCTCAGTGTCAGTGCGGGGCTGGGAGGGGGAGCGAGTGGGGGTTTGCCCCCTGACAGGGACCCGGCACCCCCGGTCAGTGTAGTGTCTGTTTCCCCTCCTCACCCCTAACCCTCTGAACTTCAATTCTGCAGTAAACGTCTGTTAACTATTAACTGCGAGATCCCCGTGTGACCTCGCTGCCAATGCCCTGACCAACCATCCCCCCGGCAAACCCTCTCGCTCACTCCACCGGCATCGCCGGGCGCAAACTGGCTGTCGAGTTTCGCCCACACAACACACAGTCACTGCACTTTACAGTGTGTCCTGCGAAGCGCTTTGAGAACGTCTCGACGACGCGATAAGGCGGTGTATCAAAGGCCAGGATTATTATTATTATTATTATTATTATATCCTGACCTGATGATGCGCTGTGTGGATTGCTCACTCCTCTGTGATCTTGTCTGCCTCCCCGCCTCACTCCTGCCCAGCTCAGTGCTGTCTGGCTGGCTACGTCCTGCTGTTACTCAGTGACTACTGGTATTTGGCCGCTCTCTACTCTCTCTGGCTCTACGTGGACTGGGACACTCCGGCCAGCGGAGGCCGCAGGTCGCAATGGATCCGGAACTGGACCGTGTGGAAATATTTCCAAAGTTACTTCCCCATCACTGTGAGTCCGGTCTTTACTACAATAAAGCCCCAAATGGCTGCCGAGTTTCGCCCACAAAACACACAGTCACTTCACTCTACAGTCAATCCTGTGAAGCGATTTGAAAAGTCTTGACGACGTGATAAGGCGTTGGGTCAAATGCCAGGATTATTATTATTACTTTTTACTGGAGGTTAATATTTTGTTCTCCAGGTAATTGGCCAAACCATTTCTGGACAGACTTAGTAACAGTCTTAATTGCACCGATGATTCCATACACGTCCACGTGCAGTTGGTTTTATCTCCTGATCTTACCTTCAGGATTGACGGCCAGGACACCTGGAGAGAGAAACATTTCCCAGATCCCTGCGGGGTCTCTAACATCCACCTGAAATTTGGGCCCAAACCCCACAGTCGCTCTCTCTCTCTCCATTATCCGGTCTCTGACTCTCTCACCCCCTCTCTCTCTCTCTCCCCCCGCAGTTGCTGAAGACAGCTGAGTTGTCCCCTCGCCACAATTACTTGTTTGGGTTCCACCCTCATGGGGTGCTGGTGGCCGGAGCCTTTGGTAACTTCTGCACCGAGGCCACAGGATTCTCTCGGCTCTTCCCAGGCCTCACCCCCCACCTGCTCATGTTACCCTTCTGGTTCCGGGTGCCTTTCTACAGGGAGTACATCATGTGTGGAGGTGAGGGGGCGGTGTGGGGGGGGGCGAGGGAGACGCGAGGAGGGAAGAGAGTCAACCGGGTCGTGGCTAAGGATTGGAATTCCTCCTGTCTCTAACTCTGAGAGCATTGAGAATGGAGCTTTGACGATGGAGTGGTGAGGATATTGTCTCTCTCTCTCTCTCTCTCTGCCCCAGGCCTGGTCTCCTCAGATAAGCAGAGCGCAACCCACATCCTGAGCCGGCCGGGGGGAGGGCAGGTGGCTGTGTTGGCAGTGGGGGGACCCCCAGAGGCCCTGGATGCCCGGCCAGGGGCCCTGACACTGCAACTGCTCCACAGGAAGGGATTCGTTAAACTTGCCCTGAAACATGGGTAAGTGTGGCCATGGGGTGGGGGGGGCAAAGGTGTGTGTCCGTGTGAGTGTGCGCGTGTTAGGGGGGGAGTGAGTGTGTGTGTGTGTGTGTGGAGTAAAAGTTTGTGTGTCTACGTGTCTGTGGGGAGAGAGAGCGAGAGTGGTGTGTAGAAGGGTGTGTGTGAGTGTGTGAGTGAGTGTGTGTGTGTGTGTGGGGGAGTGACTGTGTGTAGGACTGCGTGTGCGCGTGTGTAGGAGTGCGTGTGTGTGCGTGTAGGAGCGCGTGTGTGTGTAGGATTGCATGTACACAAGTGTGTGTAGCAATGAGGGTGTGTTGGGGGGAGCGAGGTGTATCTGTACGAGGAGCGAGAGCATGTGTTTGTGGGAGTGAATGCGTGTGTGTGTGTGTGTAGCAGTGAGGCTGTACGTGACACCCCCCCCACCTTGTCCCCTCCCCAGTGCCCACCTGGTGCCTGTGTTCTCGTTCGGGGAGAACGAGCTGTTTGACCAGGTCCCGAACCCCCAGGGGTCATGGCTCCGTGGCCTACAGGATAGACTGCAGCGGCTGGTGGGGCTCTCTCTGCCCCTCTTCCACGCTCGTGGCATCTTCCAGTACAGCTTCGGTCTCATGCCCTACCGTCAGCCCGTCAACACCGTGGGTAAGAGCAGCCAACCCTGGGGAGAGAGACACAACACCCACCCGCTCCCCCCAACACACACCCACCCGCTCCCCCAACACACACCCACCCGCTCCCCCAACACACACCCACCCGCTCCCCCCAACACACACCCACCCGCTCCCCCACAACACACACCCACCCGCTCCCCCACAACACACACCCACCCGCTCCCCCACAACACACACCCACCCGCTACCCCACAACACACACCCACCCGCTACCCCACAACACACACTCTGGAAACCAAACCGGATTGGTGGGTGGAGGGGAGATGGGGTTGGATTGGGAAGGGGTTGGCTAAGGGTGGAGGGGAGAGATCCTGGGCTGAGGGGAGAAGGGGTTGGATTGGGAAGGGGTCGACTGACGTTCTTCCCCCCACCCCCCTGCAGTGGGCCGGTCCATTGCTGTGGAGAAGACCCCGAGCCCCACCGGGCAGCAGATCGAGGAGTTACACCAGACTTACCTCAGCCAACTCCAGGAGCTCTTCGAGGAGAACAAGGCACGTTTCGGGGTCCCTGAAAGCAAGCACCTCATCCTGGTATAACCCCCCCCCCAATCCGCCCCAGGGCCAATCCCCCCTCTCCCCCCCAGGGCCAATCCCCCCTCTCCCCCCAGGGCCAATCCCCCCTCTCCCCCCTGGGCCAATCCCCCCTCTCCCCCCCAGGGCCAATCCCCCCTCTCCCCCCAGGGCCAATCCCCCCTCTCCCCCCTCAGGGCCAATCCCCCTCTCCCCCCCAGGGCCAATCCCCCCTCTCTCCCCCAGGGCCAATCCCCCCTCTCTCCCCCAGGGCCAATCCCCCCTCTCCCCCCAGGGCCAATCCCCCCTTCCACCCCAGGGCCAATCCCCCCTCTCCACCCCAGGACCAATCCCCCCTCTCCCCCCCAGGACCTCTCCCCCCCAGGGCCACTCCCCCCTCTCCCCCCAGGGCCAATCCCCCCTCTCCCCCCCAGGCCAATCCCCCCTCCCCCCCCCCCCCCCCCCCCCCGCCAATCCCACCCCCAGGGCCAATCCCCCCTCCCCCACCAAGAGCCATCCATTCCCCCCATTAAACATCAACAACCCCATTCCGCGCCCCCCCCCATCAACATTGCCCACCCACTACTGTTGCCCTCCCCCCTCCCGCCGCAGCGATACACACCTGCTCCCCCCACCCCAAACGGTTGAGATGCTGCCTAATCTCTGCCCCCCTCCCACCCCCCACCGCGTACACCCTTCAGGCCCTGTCACCCCCACCGCGTACACCCTTCAGGCCCTGTCACCCCCACCGCGTACACCCTTCAGGCCCTGTCACCCCCACCACGTCTTGTGGCTGAGGGAAAGGGATGGATTTCCTGATGGAACGGGAGTTTGTGGCTGTTGTGAATAAACCCTGAAGTGCTCACTGTTGTCGTAGCTCATTCATTAAACATGTCCATCATGTCCAGCAGATGGGGGTGTGGAAGGGGTGGAAGTTCCTGTCCACATACAACTCCCCCCCCCCCCCCCCACCCCCCTATACACACACACACACACAGGCTCCCTCTCAATACACAGTATGGCTTCTGTAATAACCTCAAGCTCTCTCTACACTGTGCGTCCACACTCCCAGGTCAGGGTTAGAGACACAGTAAAGCTCTCTCTACACTGTGCGTCAACACTCCCGGGTCAGGGTTAGAGACACAGTAAAGCTCTCTCTACACTGTGCGTCCACACTCCCAGGTCAGGGTTAGAGACTCAGTGAAGCTCCTCTACACTGTGTGTCCACACTCCCAGGTCAGGGTTACAGACACAGTAACGCTCCTCTACACTGTGCGTCCACACTCCCAGGTCAGGGTTAGAGACACAGTAAAGCTCCTCTACACTGTGCGTCCACACTCCCGGGTCAGGGTTAGAGACACAGTAAGGCTCCTCTACACTGTGTGTCCACACTCCCGGGTCAGGGTTAGAGACACAGTAAGGCTCCCTCTACGCTGTCCTCACCATGGGAGGGAAACTTGCCTTCTCAGCTGAGCCTCAGTGTCTATTTACAGAGCTCTGTGGGTGGTTCGGTTTCCCTGTGTCGCTCTTTGTGGTCAAGAGTTTGGGAAGGAAACGAACTTGGGAAAGAGGGTAAACAGGGCCACACAGAGGAAAGGCAGTGAGGTTTAAATCCCCTTTATTTCAGTCATTCCAACAGCAAAAAGAATCAGTGTGTGAGGTAATGGAGAGTGCGGACACTGTGTGTGTGTTTGGGGGTCTGGGGGCTCAGTCACTCGGCTGGAGGTTGTGGGAGACACTCGAACCCACAACCTCCTGATTCGGAGGTGAGAGATCGCAAGCGACTGAGCCACAATGTTGACAGTTTCAAACCCGGAACCTCTCAGTCCCAGATTACAATAAGGGATAAAACGGGTTATAAATAATCTATAAATTAATGTGTTTAAATACAATCCATGCGTACAATCAGGTGTTGAGGTGGGGGGAGGGGGGGCTTCTGGCTTGTCTACTGCCCGCTGCTCAGGTGCCCCTCAGGTATGCGTGGAGGCTGGGGGGCAGGGGCAGAGTTGACACCCCCGACATGCCCTCCGAGCCCAGGCTGAGCCGCACTCGCCAGCGGCAGAGAGCTTCCAGCCTCGCGGGCTGATCTGGGGAGAGAGAGAGAGAGAAGATGTTCACTCCAGCACCATAGCCATCGCCTGTCTTACTCTGTCCTTCTCTCTGTCCCCTCCTCTCCCCCTCCTCCGCCCCGCTCCTCTCTCCCCCAAACATCCTTCACAAGACGTTAAACCTCACTCCCCGTCCGTGCCCCGACCATCAAGATCTCCCACGGATCTATCCACAAAGACCAGGGGGTTTCTCTCTCTCTCCCCCGGTGTCCTGGCTGACAATCCCCCAAATAAAATTGGTCGTCCACTCCACAATTGTTTGTGTGCAATTGCCTGCCGCACTTTACCCAGTCACTACACTTTATCCTGTGAAGCGCTTCGAGACGTCTCGAAGATGTGATCGCAATCTGTATCAAACGCAGAGATTATTATATTTGTTCAGCTTCTCCCACGTAAACCGTACTCACAGAATACAATCAATTACCCACGAAGATGACGGTGGCTTTTCCTGGGGAGAAGCCGGAGAGAGAGACAGAGAGAGAGAGAGAAACCTGATTTGTTTTTGTTGCGCTTTGAATTTTAATCTTTTTTTAGATTAAAAAAAAAGTAACAGAGGTTGGAAAAGTAACCTGGGGTGGGGGGGGGGGGGGGTGGAGAGGGCTGGTGTTCGACAGATAGAGCGCCTTTCCTATCAGGAGGACGTCACAAAGTAACTTCACAGGATTCACGGTAAAGTGTAGTGACTGTGTGTGACGTGGCAGCCGATTCGCGCTCGGCGACGCCACCACAAACAGCCGTGAAGCAACGGGGAGTGAGTGAGGTTTAACGTTTCATCTGACAATGAGATGACATCTTTCTCTCTCTCTCTCTTCCCCCCCCAGTGCTGCACTAGAGAGTCAGCCTGGACTGTGAGCTCAACGCCCCCGACGTGGGGTGGGGGGAGCTCGAACAAGTGAGAGAGGTGGGTGGGGGTCTTCACGTCAGACAGTCGCGGGTTTGTGACCGAGTTGGGGATTTAATAGCGCGGAGAGCGTGTGTGAGAGAGTGTGAGAGAGAGAGAGAGGTCGGACTCACGATCCACGCTGTTGATGTAGGTCAGGGTGATGCTGGAGTCTCCCCACACCGAGCTGACCATGGGGTACAGAGTCCGGCCTCTCAGGCCGGTGAAAGCAGCTCCCAGATACTCTCCGTCCACCAGGAAGCTCAGGCTGCCCTGGTCGGCATCCAGGATGAGCAGGAAGGAGGGTGGCACCGGCAGGGGCCCGCCTGGCGAGGGCGGGTACGTGCCCGGGGCGGGCACCTTGCTGCCGTGGTACAGCTGGTTCCGGCCGAGCTCCCAGCCCCACGACTCGGAGTCACTGCCCACCAGGGCGCTGTACCCCGGGGCCTGCAGCCGGGCCCTGGCAGTACCCACCCCCACCGCGGCATGGCTGCCTCGCTGGCCCGAGGGCCACACCACCTCCCAGACGTGCAGCCCCTCCCGGTAGCCCGGCCCGGCCCGGACGCAGTCGCTGCTGGAGGAGGCCGGGCAGCGCCGAGCCGTTCGCCTGTCCTCCGCCCCCACCGTCATGTTGGGGGAGCTCTGCGCCGGGTCCCAGGAGTGTCGGAGTCGCTCCTCGTGGGGAGCGGGGGGCAAGTCCAGCAGGAGTCCCAGGCGGGACGGGGGGGACACCCCAAGCCCCCAGAAGGGGCTCCTTTCCCCAGAGCCGGTGGGGGGCGGCCCCTGAGCTTTAAACAGCCTCGGCCCCATGACTGTTATCAGCAACAAAACAACTAACAGCCTCTGGAGCAACAGCAAACAGCAACGTTGACTTTAGTGCTGGTGGTGGGTGCTAAGTGCCGGGTGGCTGGGTGCCGGGTGGCTGGGTGCCGGGTGGCTGGGTGGCTGGGTGTTGGGTGCTGGGTGGCTGGGTGCTAAGTGCTAAGTGCTGGGTGCCGGGTGGTTGGGTGCTGGGTGGCTGGGTGCTGGGTGGCTGGGTGGCTGGGTGCTGGGTGGCTGGGTGCTGGGTGGCTGGGTGCTGGGTGGCTGGGTGCTGGGTGCTGGGTGGCTGGGTGCTGGGTGGCTGGGTGGCTGGGTGGCTGGGTGCTGGGTGGCTGGGTGCCGGGTGGCCGGGTGGCTGGGTGCTACGTCTGGTGCTGGGTGCGTGGTGTGGCTCACAGAGGGGGCAGCCACTGCTTTTAAAGCACTTGGTGTGAAAGTAATCCGGTTTATCTGCATTGTGTTATCGGCCGATTACAGAATGTTCCCGTGTGTCATGACGGAGGCTGCGGAGAGAGACAGACAGTGACCGACGGCCTGGTCACCTCCTACGTTAAGCACCAGCAGCTCCTCCCTCGCGCCCCCCCCACAATCTCAGCTTCAAGGTCAGCAGCTTCCGTCACTCGCTCACCCCCACCCCCCACCTCCCCCCCACTTACATTTCGCAGAGGAATTTTCTCCGCGTGTGTGTGTACCTGACAGTGTAGGGACCCCCAGTGTGTGTGTGTGTGTGCGTGTGTCTGTGTGTGTGTGTGCGTGTGTCTGTGTGTGTGTGTGTGCGTGTGTCTGTGTGTATGCATGAGATAACGTGTAACTCTTCAGGCCACTTAGCTCAGAGAGAGGGAGGAGGAGAGATACAGGAGCGGAGACAGAGGGAGTGCAAATAGAACAAACGGTGAAGCGAGCGGGGGGGTGGGGGGGGCAGGAGTGCTGTGCAATAAATAATAATAATCCTTACGACAGGAGGTCTCAAAGCGCTTCGCAGGATTCACTGTGAAGTGTAGTGACCAAGTATTACACGATAGGGAGCCAGTGGAGGCTGGCGAGGGCTGGGGTGATGGGGGGGCCGGGGTTTAGTGGGTGTGATAGGGAGCCAGTGGAGGCTGGCGAGGGCTGGGGTGATGGGGGGCCGGGGTTTAGTGGGGGTGATAGGGAGCCAGTGGAGGCTGGCGAGGGCTGGGGTATATATTTTGGTGCAGTTAAGGATACAGACAGCAGAGACCTGAATGAATTGGAACTGGAAGTTAGCAACTAAAGCCCAAAACTCCGAATATAATCTAAAATTAGAGTAAATGTGGTTCAATGTGAAAGCACAAATACAAAGTGCCAGCTCGGGAATCTGTTATAGTCGCTTCCAGTGACTGATTGAATAAGTTCCAAGGTGAGAGTGTCTGAGGGGTGGGAGCCAAATCACGACTGACATTTATACAGTGCCTTTCGCCTCGGCAGGACATCTCAGAGTGCTTCACGCAGGGGGAAGATGAACATTGTCTCTCTTTCTCTTTCCCTTCCATTCTCCTTCACACACACTCTGTCCCCCTCTCACGCACACACACATCCTTTCCTCCTTCTGAGTCTGAGAGACGTTCATTTGGTGGTAAGCCTTGGCTGCCTATTACGCCATTGCTGGTGTTATCTGAATGCGTGAGCTCAAGGCTGTGGTAGGAGGGGAGGTAACTGTCTATGAGGCTGGAGCTGCACTCAGACAGTGTGGGGAACGCTGCCCAATGTCCTCAGCCTTGCAGACAGGAGGATAGATAGTGGCTCACATGAGGTTATCCACTTGTTTATGAAGGCGGCTGCAATGTGAGCAATGAGGCCAAATCAGCACTGCTCAATGCAAGGGCAGACAAGCCAGTGTCAGAGAGCCAGGGCCCCGTCTCCCTGCAGCACAGAGGCTGACGCGGACTTGAGGAGGTGGACAGAATGAGGGATGTTGACAGGGAGCACCTCGCCTGGTTGACCAGGGGACACAGATAACAGAGAGTCTCAAGAACAGCGAAAGGAGATCTTGGGAGGAATGTTTTCACCCAGAGACACTGGGCTCTGTGAGCCAGTGCGGACCTGATGGGCTAAATGGCCTCCTTCTGTACTGTGGGTTTCCATGTTTCTACAGTCAGACACACAAATACACAGAGCTCTGTGCACAGGCTCAGATACACAGTTCCACGCATGTACTCACCCCACAAAGAGAAACATGTTTACACTGACACAGAGAGAACAGTGTAAACACACACACTGTGTGGCAAGAACATGGAATATAGATTGAGCCAAGGCTTGGGGAGGCCAGAGTGTGCATTGGGGTAAATGCTGGAGTCTAACCAGGTGAACCACACAGCTTGCCCATTCATATCACTGTCATGGCAAGCTTTCACGCTGCTTGTCCAGCTAAGTCCACCCTCCCCGTTAGTTAGTTGGGGCTTTGGCTGTGGGGTTAACAGATGCTGAGTGGGAGGATTCCCTGCCCCAGTGACTGATCGGCCCTTAAGGTCCTGCCGATGAGCCGGGCCGGGCTGGGCTGCCGTCACGGAGAGTGGTGGTGGTGGGGGGGTTCGATCCTGACATCCTGTTGCCAAACACGGCACCTTCAATTCAGTTAGGACCAGAACCCACTTCCTCGTCCCCACCCCGCCAGGTATATAATGTGTGAGGATGCATGTTGGGATGGGACTGTAATAGACGTCTCACAAACCTAATCACAGATGATGTATTTCATCAGAAGTGACAAGTACGATAACATCTATAGGAAGTAAGAACAAGGAACTGAAAGCGAGATGTCATCATGCAAAGACACTTGTATTTGCGATCATCCTTGAGAAGGAAGGGTAGGAGTAACAGGAGAGTCACAGCAACAGTGACCGGTGCCACGGAGAGAGAGTGAGAGAGAGAGACGGAGAGATGGTGACTGGCGCACTTTTCCTTCTCCAGCTGCTTGTCGGTGAGTTACAGGCTGGAATCTAATAGGGGGGTTTCAGAGATTTATATATAAATCTGTAGCTTTGTGGTTAGAGAGCTCGCCTCGCAAGCAAGAGGACCTGGGTTGATTCGGACAATTAATCAAGGCTTATTAATTCAGATTAATAATGGTTATAGGTCATTAAAAGAATACATCGAATTATGTTTACATATCCACACAGACTGTAATTCACAACAATTTAAGTTGATCAAACCAACTGCTGCGGGAGAGATAGAGGAGCGTCGTCCAATTCATTGCCCCATTTGAATCCAAATATAAGTCCTCAATTGGTATCCAAGTATTGCTGTACTGTTTCCAGTTCGATATCACCCAAAGGTATTCAGGTATTATTGCACATTTAGTGTTGTTTAAATCACAGTCATGATCTTCCTTCTTTAGAAACTGGAATATGGTTCTCGACTCTAAGTTCCAATTTCTTCCTTCTCTTTTTCTCTCTTTCTCTTGAAAAGAGGAGGGTGAGGGGTGACCCGATAGAGGTCTTTAAAATGATGAAAGGTCTTCATAGGGTCGACATAGGGAAGATATTTCCACTTGTGGGGGAGACCAAAACCAGGGGCCATCACCAAATTAATCACCAGCTCCACTCATATGAGTCTAACAAATCTAATACAATTTTTCGATGAGGTAACAGAGAGGGGATAAAGATAGTACAGTTGATGTAGTTTATATGGACTTTCAAAAGGCATTTGACAAAGTGCCACATGAAAGACTTGTGAGAAAGATAGAAGCCCACGGTATAAAAGGGACAGTGGCAGCGGATCGAGAACTGGTTGGGAGACAGAAAGCAGAGAGTTGTGGTGAACGGCTGCTTTTCTGACTGGAGGGAAGTGTACAGTGGCGTTCCCCAGGGATCGGTATTAGGACCACTGCTCTTCTTAATATACATAAATGATCTGGACTTGGGTATAGCAAATACCATCTCCAAGTTTGGGGACGACACAAAGTTAGGGAGGGGGTAAACAGTGAGAAGGATAGGAGCCGACTGCAGGAAGATATAGACAGAATGTAAAATGGGCGACACATGGCAGATGAGTTTCAATGTAGAGAAATGCGAAGTAATGCATTTTGGTAGAAAGAATGAGCGGAGGCAATAATGGCTGGTAATACAATCTTAAGGGGGTAAAACAACAGAGCGACCTGGGGGGGGGGCAGGTAACTGAATCCTTGAAGGTGGCAGGACAGGTAAAAAGGGCATATAGGATACTGGGCTTTATAAATAGGGGCATAGAGTACAAGAGTCAGGAGGTGATGATTAACCGATATAAACGCTGGTTAGACCTCAGTTAGAATACTGCCCCAGTTCGGGGCCCCACACTATAGGAAGGATGTTAAGGCATTGGAAAGGGTACAGAGGAGATTTACGAGGATGGTAACAGGAATGAGGGACCGTGATGATGAGGAAAGGCTGGAGAGGCCGGGAATATTCTCATTGGAGCAGAGAAGGTTACGAGGACCTAATAGAGGTCTTCAAAATCATGAGGGGATTTGATGGGATAGAAAGGGACAAACTGTTCCCACTGGTGGGAGTGTCGGTGACTCGAGGTCACAGATTCAAAATAGTCTCTAAAAGAAGCCGAGTGGAGGGGAGAAGACATGTTTTCACGCAGCGAGTTGTTGGAATCTGGAACATTGCCTGAAAGGGCGGTCGAGGCCGATTCCATAACTACTTTTAAAACTGCGGTGGACGGGTATTTGCGGAGGACGGGTTTGCAGGTTATGGGGAAAGCGCCGGGAGTGGGATTGACATTAATTGCTCCTTTCAAAGAGCCGCACAGACTCGATGGGCCGAATGGCCTCTTTTTGTGCTGTACAATTCTATGATTCTATGAGACTGATCGTATGTCTCAAATATATAAACATCGCAAATATAATTTGAGATATTATTTAACACATTAATTACAGAAATCCTACATTATTATATAGAATAACGGAGGGGAGGAGTGAGTTCGAGACTGGAATCTGCTCCAGGGGTTTATATATAGAATAACACACCCCTGGGGGCGAGTTACAGGCCGGAGAGCAGTTGTGGAGTTTGACGATCGTAATAAATGATGGTACAATACTCGGCCTTAATAAGGATAAGTAAGACAACTCCTGGACAACTCAGATACATTTTCACTGTTTCTCTCTCACAGTTGCGACAAGTAACAGCAAATTCAAGGTGAATCAGCCAGAGTCTGTGTCAAGGATGCTGGGAGACTCTGTCACCATCCCCTGCCAGTTCTCCTACCCAACCGAGTACCGTGCTACCAAGATTCGCATTTATTGGAGAAAATATCAGTTTCACGGACCGTTCATATTCAACGTGTCAGAGGGATATATTCACCCCAATTACAGCGGACGGATTAACTTCCTGGGGAAGCCAGAGGGAGAGAAGACCGGCACCATCCGGATCAACAGCCTGAAACAAAACGATTCAAGTTATTATTTCTGTCGGGTCAAGACCGGGGAAGTAAGCCACAGATGTGGCAAAGTATCCCTGGGACACAGCTCAGGGTAGAATCGCACAGTACAACAGGTAAATACACCAGGAATGTGTCCTGCGACAGTCTCAGTGTAAGAGATAACACTCCAGGAATGTTGGGAACTTTGAGCTCACAGTCCAGGCTGACCCTCCAGGGCAAGTGCTGCATTATCGGAGGTGCCGTCCTTCGCTTGAGACACGAAACTGCCCGTTGACGCACACATAATTTAAAGAGGTGGGAGTTTCTCTTTGAACGCTCATCCGAAAGACGTCGCCTCCAAAAAGGTGGGAGCACTCCCCCTCCCCACCGCATTGGAGCGTCAGCCCCAACTGTGAGCTCAAAGACCCAACTGAGTGAGAAGGTTCTAATAATAAGGCTCCAACCTACAACCTCGAGCCAGGCTGACACTCTGTACAGCCGAACAATCTGCTGGCTCACCCGGAGCAGACAGGTTTGTGCCAGCGCCAAACACAAACAGAAAGTTAACTGGGTCCAAAGGAAATGTAAAAATAATACCAAACATTATTTTATCATCTTGGAAGGCAAAACAACTGAACAACCCAAATGCACACATACTCACACAAGCCCACAAGCCAGCAGGATTCCGGGGAGCGAGACGAACAAGGATCCGGGGAACGAAACATGGATTGCTGTGGGCTGTGCGGTTGCGGTGCTACTTGTGATTGCTATCATTGTCGTCGTTGTCTGGAAAAGGCGTAAGAATGCAAGTAAGTGGCTACGTACATATCCTCCAAACTGGCAGCTTAAGCTCAGTCTCACAGTGCAGTGTGTCAGTGCTTGGCTCCAGCAGACTGCAACTGATCGGTCCATGGCCGATCGTGGGAATGTTGCTGTGCGCAAAACTGGCTGCCGGGTTTTGCCCACAACACACACAGTCACCACGCTTTTTCTCCTGCGAGTCCTGTGTCTCAAAGCACTTCACAGAATACACTGCAAAGTGAATTGATTGCACTGTATTTTTGTGGGAGAAACTTGGCAGCCAATTGCGCACATCGGTGTCCCACACACAGTCGTGGCTTGAGTGACTACATTTTTGGGGGGAGGGATTATTACCCCCAGAAAAGCGTTCTGCCTGACAATGACTGACAACCGGGTTCATTCTTACTGCTGGTAAATAGAGGCGGGTGGGTGGAGTAAAGAAACTTGGCTAAGGTTTCGCCCTGCCCGGGAATTGATCCCAGGTCCTCTCACTTGTGAGTGCTCTAACCACTGTGGGGCAGCACTCCACTCTCCCATGTGAAGGACGCTGGTTGAAAGCGAGTTGTTGTTGTAGACTAGGTGGCATTTCTGGTCTGTAGAAACCTGGATTCTGGAGAACCACAGTCTGCGCCACAAATAGCTGATGTTCTGTCTGTTCCTGCATTTCAGATCTTCATAATAAATCGGAGCCCAACAACAAGCCTGCGGACAACGTGCAAACACCTCACTACACAACAATCACCGGATCCACAGGCCATGATGAGGTGAGGATTTTTGGGGTCAGCCGGGTGTCCGACACGCATGGAAACCCATCACAGTGATTAAGACCAAATCAGACTGAGGGTACCACATGTTTATGCCACCTATATGTCGCTGGGTATGTAATGGAAGGCACATTCTTTCTCCCTGGAAGGACACATACTGCTTATGTAATCCCCAAGAGTATAAGGCACAGGCTGGGATGAGACTGGGCTTGGGGACCACAGACCTTATTACAAAATGTTAAGTGGAAATGAAAAAGTAAACACAAAAGAATACTTTAGGACACACCAAAGCAGATGGTGGAGTGGGGGGGGGGTAAGCAGATGGGATAGGTAGGGAGGTGGGAGGGCACGAAGGGTTTTTTGAAAACAAGTGAAAGGATATTAGACAATGGAAGGGATAATTAAACCCAAGGGAACCCCCTCTCCCTCACCCACAATGATTTACTCTTAACCACTTGGTATTTCAGGAAGAAAACACTGAGGGTATTGTCTACGCAAAACTACAGATTGGACAGAGCAATGTCACTAAAGTCCCGCTGGCAGATCAAAATACATTATACGCAGCTGTCGACTTCCGCAATAAAAGTAGTTAAATTTACTTTTCCCAACACATGCCATAATGTTACTGGAAATAAAAATACCATCAAGTGTCGGAAACTGTTTTGCAATATACCCGCACTGTGACCTGTTTTCTGTATGGGTCAATCTTCCTTCTGCTTCTCTCAGATTGTTTTTTTTCCACTGAAAAGAAATAACTCCATTTACTAAGCTTGTTAGAGTTAAGAGTGCTTCGCAGTAACTAATGCCACGTGTCGTACGTAGGGAACCAACAGGGAGACTCCGCAACAAACAGACATCGGATGAGGCACAACAGTGAGACAAAGTGATTCAGACCCAATGAGACAAGTGACACAGAGACACGTAGTGAGTCACAGACACACAGTGACACACACACACACAGTGACACACAGGTTGTAGACAGATTTATTAGAAAACACCCAAGTTGGCTATTATCCTCCTCGTTATGACTATGCTCAGCAAGTCCACTTTGTGTGTCTGTTTATATACTTTTTAAAGAGTTCAGACTTGAAATAGTTATTATTTTAACATTTCGCTCTGCTTTTCTTTAAAATTTTAACATTTAACTTTTTTTAAATCGCATTTTTTTAACATTTTGCTTTTGCGACGAATGTTAAGTTGTTGCATTGTTAATGTCTGTGTGGACAAAAATTACAGCCAATTGATAAGAGTGCCTCATTCTGTTGTGAAGTGACTGTTTGTTTGTAGGCAAATGTGTTTAAAATGTTAATTTTATTTCCATAATAAACGTAATTCATCTCAACACCAGTTTTCCTCATTGAATTGTTGAAGAAAATGTGTGCATGAGGGTACAATTCTACCGACAGGGCCGTTCCTTTCGTTCAGCAACAGCAACAGACAACAAATTAAGGTTGTGTAGCGCCTTTCGCGTCAGGAGGACATCCTAAAGGGGCTCGAGACAGTCAGGGATCCACACCCAAGCTGGTGGCTGGGATCAGGAGAGGTGGAGGGCGGAGATAGGAGGGTGACTGAAGGCACGATCGAAGAGGAGGGTCTTGGGGAAATGCCTTGAAGGAGGCAAGGGTGGGAGCGAGGCGTAGGACTTTGGGATGGAGTTCCGGAGTGTGGGGGCAGAGAGATTGAAGGTCCGACCGCCGATGGTGGGGCGGGCACTGCAGTGACTTGATCCACTGATGAAGATCCTACGTGCATTTTTTTTGGAAAAAGAGAACTTTATTGGCAGTCCAGTCATATTCGGCCAAAGTAGTCTGCGCCAGTGTTTGTACTCTACACTCTCCTATTCCCTTCCATTCCTTCTCCCTCGTGTCTGCAACACGATTCCTCTTGAACCCGTCAGTGCTTTCTTCACCAACACAGCTTCCGACAGTGGGAAGAAGTTCCTCCTAAATACCGATTAGATCTGAAACTCGTGCTTCTATATTTATACCGTCTCGTTATGGACTCACCAAAAGGGGAAATTGCCTGTCAACAATGTCTGAACGCACAAATATACAGTCAATTCACTTTACAGTATGTTCTGTGAAGCGCTTTGGGACGTCCTCCCGATGTGAAAAGCGCTATATCAAATGCAAGGATTATTATTATTATTATCACTAATATCAAATGCAAGGATTATTATTATTATTATCACAACAACATGACATTTATAGAGCGCCTTTCAGGTCGGGAGGGCCTCCCAATTATAATGATAAGCCTTGTATTTGATACGGCGACTTATCCCGTCTGTGAGATATCTCGAAGCGCTTCACAGGAAATACTGTAAAGTGTAGTGACTGTGTGTTTTGTGGGCGAAACATGGCAGCCAATTGCGTACAGCAGTCTCCCCATAAACAGTCGTGGATTGAGTGACCACATTATCATTATTTTACCCCCGGAAAAGCGAGCCACCAATCGACTAACAAGCGGGTTCATGTTTGCTGTGAGATGAACAGAGACTTACTTTGCCATGAATATCTATTGGGATTAACGTTTCAAATTGAATAATGAAAAATATTTTAAAACGTGCGTTTTTTGGGGAGGGGTCTGACACACGCAACAACAACAACAAGATTCCATTTATAGAGCGCCTTTCACGTCGGGAGGACGTCCCAAAGTGCTGGACAGTTGGATCAGGACCCGAGCAGTGGTGAAATGGTCAGGGTGATGTGAGGGGAGGGAGAGAGCGAGGACGGGGGAAATGGTCAGGGTGAGGGGAGCGAAGGGAGGGAGCGAGGAGGGGGTAGAGAGTTGAGAGGGGAGCTGAAGGCTCGGTCAAAGAGAAAGGTCTTGAGACCGGTCTTGAAGGAGGAAAGGGAGGAAGCGGCGAGCATATAGAGGGTGAAGAGGAGGGGACCGAGGACAGAGCCCTGAGGGACACCGCACGAGACAGTGCGGGGGATGGAGGAAAATGCTGCCGATAGGTCGAGGAGGACGAGGAGGCAGAGGGAGCCCTGGTCGTAGATGGTCAAGGTGTCACGCAGAAACCCATCACTGTGCTTAAAATTATCTAAATTAAATGGAGAATTCCACATACCTCCCAAGTCCTGCTAAACAAGCTGCTTTGTCATCAGCTGTGCCCTGGAAATTTCCGATGTTTGTAATAGAGTGGTTACTCTCTCTCTCGGAGGAATGGGCCCCGCTCACCTAATTCTGGAGAGGATTAGGCACAGGTTAGCAAAAGCCAAGGCTTTGGAGACCTCAGAGCATGTGTTGGAGTAACTGCTGGAGTTTAACCAGCTACACTTGCGTAGCTTTCTAGCAAATTTCCAGGTCTGCTCTATCTGTTTCAGTTTGGGCTTTGAATTTAATAGAAACTGTGAAGTACTTTGAGATATGTTGACATTATGGATGAATCATTATACCTACAGGTAATAATCCCCTAAAATAATAATAATCCTTGCATTTGATATAGCGCTTTTCACGTCGGGAGGACGTCCCAAAGCGCTTCACAGAACACACTGTAAAGTGAATTGACTGTATATTTGTGGGCAAACGCGGCAGCCAATTGCGCACAGCAATGTCCCACAAACAGTCGTAGATTGAAAATGACCAACTTATTACTGTTTTGTGTTTTTGGAGGGATTATTATTAAAAAAATACTAATTGGGTCAGTGGGACACTGTTGTACGCAATTGGCTGCCTCATTTCACCCACAAAATCTATAGTCAATTCACTTTACAGTAGATTCTGTGAAGCGCTTTGAGACGTCTCGAAGACGTGATAAGGTTCTCTGTCAAATGCAACGATTATTTATTTTATTATAAATACCAAATGCAAAGGTTATTGTTTAATGGAACAACCTATTTTAACTTATTATCTTTACATACTGGCTGATGAGTGACTCAGCGATTTTCAGCTCTGAAACTGAAACACAAATTACATCGGTCTCCACAGAGAAATTGAAAGTGTAAGCCATTCTGCAATTTCCTAGAAGTGACGTGGTTATTTTTCAGATAGGTACAGATACACATCCCTGGGTACACCCATCCAGATCAGTTTCTGTGAGAGGGAGCACAGTGACAGGACTTTGGGCGTTAGGGAGAATCCTTCAATCTGAAACCCGAACAAGAGGAAAAGTCTGCAACCTTTTGATCAGGGGAGCAAACCTCTGGTGCTCTTTGAAGCTGAGTAGATGCACGATAGTACAAAGAAGTGAGTACAGATTTGTCAGTTTCTTTTAAGTGCTTAAAGAAAAAGGCTGTGCTGCACGGGTGTGAATCTGCTGATGGTGGGATGGGAAGAGCGGGGACATGGAAGGACACCAGCGTTCACTGACTGAAAGGAATCGTTCAGGCATCTGAAACACTGGCATCAAAGTAATATAATAATCATATCAGAGTGATATAATAATAATTCTTGCATTTGAAATAGTGCTTTATCACGTCTTCGAGACACCTCAAAGCAAAAGTAGTGACAAAGGTCTCAATAGGGGCATAGTTCACTAAAGTTAATGATTTATTCATCAAATGCCATATCACGGTGATTTTGTTGTTGTTGTTGTTTTCTGTAACATACTCAGGGCTTGAATTTCTAGTCTAACATTAACAATAATAATAATAGCAGTGGATGTAGCGCCTCATCCCATCATCAAGTCGTCTCAAAGCGCTTCACAGAATATACTGTAAAGTGAATTAATTGACTGTATGTTTTGCGGACGAAACAATCCACCAGATAAGATCGATCATTCACTTAATGCTTGCGGGACATTCCTGAGCGTAGACCGGCTGCCACATTCACCCACAAAATGCATTACTCTTCACAGTAAATTGTGAAGCATTTTAGGATATGACAGGCATTCTATCAAACTCAAGAAGGACGGCACTTCTGACAATACAGCACTGCACTGGTAATTAACCACTCGCATATTAATTTCTTTCCAGCTGTGACTAACACAGTCCCTCACCATGGCGAGCGACCACAGTTCATCCGACTTCATACGAAAACGTCGCAAAAACTTCAGGGCCGTTCTGGGGGAAGCACCAGACACTGTGCTGGATGAGCTGGATTCCTTGCTGCTCATCACCAGAGAGGAATACGACAAGATCGAAGGGATGCCGAACCCCAGCGACAAAGCCAGAGAGCTCATAAACACCATGCTCCGCAAAGGAGAAAGGGCGTGCCAGCAGTTCCTCACAGCCCTGCACAAATTACAGGAAACACTGCCGAGGCTGGTGGAGGTATTAGCTGAGGGCTGTCCCAGTACAAGCGGTGAGTTCAATGTTACATCTCCATCTTTTAATAACTAAACAGAACTAACCCTCAAAGGGGCGACTCTCCTGGTCCATATTAAGCAATTAATTAAGTCATTAAGACAACAACAGCAACTTGCATTTACACAGCGCTCCTCACACAGGGCAGAAGGAGGGTGCGAGGCAGAGAGCCAGAGGGATAGAGTGACAGAGCTTTGGGGCGTAGTGGCTGAAAGCCCGGCCACCGATGGTGGAATGGAGGGCACGAGGGACTCGCAGAAGGTCAGAGTCAGTTAAACAGAGGCAAGAGGCTGTGGGGTCAGCAGGTCGGAGAGGTAGAGATGGTGCCAGGGCACGAAGGGGTTTGAAGATGAGCGTGAGGATCTTGAAATTGAAATACCTCAAAGAATATATTGTAGAGTGACTGTGTATTTTGTGGGCAAAACGAAGCAGCCAATATTAAATGCAAGTTGTTGAATTAATTTAACTCATAAAACACAGTATTAGCCGTGGCGGTTAAATGCTCAAACTTTTCAAGTGAGATCGCAATGTGTTTTGTAACACCAGTAGCCACGGAACGATGCCACAGTGTGTAACAAGCCTGCGTGATGTTTGCTCTGTAGATGATTCTTCTTCCGAACACCCAGAAGGGAAACGGGGACTTGAGGAGTTCAGCCAGAACCAGGAACAGGAACAGGAGCAGCAGCAGGTCCTGAACATAACCCCCTCTAGTCCTCTCGCCGTAGAAGGTGAGTCATTGTCAGCAAGTGGCTATGGGGGGTTGGGGGCTACTGAATGCAAATTGGCCGCACATTTGCTTACAAAATACAATCGTTTTAAAGTAGTGTAAATTTTGTGAAATCTTGTCTTTTTTTATTGCTGGGGTCAGGAAATCCTCCCACTCAGCTCCGACAGGCCAAAGCCCCAACTAACGGGTAGGGTGGTCCTAGCCAACACGTAGGGATAGCTCTCCAGGTAGTGCTCTTAACGGTAAACCATATTAACTGGTTAAACACCCAGCAGTTTGTGGTATTTTCTCCAAAGCTGACTCTTCCTACAAAGAACCAGAAGCGGAAACTGGCACTGAAGAGTTCAGCCCCAACCAAGGACCGGAGCAGCCGAAGGAAGAGTGCCTTGAGCCTGAACTGCCCGCCCTACTCAGCAAAGAAGGTGAGTGATTGGTTGCTGCTTTTCCGGGGGTAATAACCCCTTCACAAAATGAATTAAATAAAGTAATAATTTGGTCACTCAATCCACGGCTGTTTGTGGGGACGCTGCAGCGCGCAATTGGCTGCTGCGTTTAACCCACAAAATATACAGTCACTACACTTTGTAGTCTATTCTGTGAAGAGCTTTGAGACGAGTTGAAGATGTGATAAGGTGCAGGAAACAAATGCAAGGATTATTATTGTTATTATGAACCAGAACCTGGCAGTGAGAGAGATAGGACAGAGGAGACCATTACACAGCCATTTGATACGCTGTATGGGAAATTTTCGAGTGAGGTGCCAGCAGAGCAGGAGCACAGCACTCATCATCTGGGACTCAACCTCAGCATCTGGTGGCACTGGGTGTGCTGGGAGTCGAGGTGGAATGGGGCTGGCAAAGGCCTACCATAGCTTGAATAAGGGAGAGCTGGCAAGGGACATGTCAAGTGAGAACTGGAGTGGTATAATCGTGGATATGGTAGTTACAACAACAACAACATTACATTTATAGAGCACCTTTCACGTCGGGAGAATGTCCCAAAGTGCTGAACAGGCAGGTGTCGGGGCCCGAGCATGGGGGAGGGGTGGTGTAGGGGTGAGGGGTGGTGTAGGGGTGAGGGAAGGCAGATAGGTGGGAGGGAGATCAAAGGCACGGTCGAAGAGGAGGGTCTTGAGACCGGCCTTGAAGGAGGCAAGGGAGGAAGCGAGGCGAAGGGACCGTGGGATGGAGTTCCAGAGTGTGGGGGTGGAGAGGCTGAAAGCCTGGCCACCAATGGTAGGGCGGGTCGGACGGGAGACATGGAGCAGGCCGGAGCCCGCTGAACGGAGGGAGCGGGCAGGTTGGTAGGGAGTCAGCAGGTCAGAGAGGTAGGAGGGGACAAGGCCATGGATGGCCTTAAAGGTGAGGACGAGGATCTTGAACTCAGTCCTCTAGGGGATGGGGAGCCAGTGGAGTCGGGCGAGGGTGGGGGTGATGGGGTCACGGAGCCTGGTGCATGAGAGTACACGAGCTGCAGAGTTTTGGATGATCTGCAGCTTGTGAAGGGAAGAGTTACATTTATATAGCGCCTTTCAGGTATGGAGAACATCTCAGAACAGTTGGATTATTGGGGTATATTGCACATATACAGATTTGGATCTGTTCCACATTTATACACATGCCATTGCTGACTGTGATAAGTAACCCCTCATGTGGGGTAAAATGTACTTCTACCATTTGTATTCATGGAGATAATGATTGTCATTTAATTTACAGAAAAAGGAAGAAATCTCCAAGAAATGCTTCAGAACCTGGGTCTCCAGGACTTGTACACGCGTAAGCTATCCCTGAGTGAGGTTCTGGAGATTGGGCCCCAAACACTGGTCTGCACAAAGCCTCAATCCTTGCTCTGTGTTGCTGAGTACTTTCTAAAAAAGCTGATGATTCTCAGTTTGACAGCCAGAAATGTTAAGTGTACGGGAAGGGTTGGGAGAGGGGTAGGAAATGCTGAACAAACCGACTTTTCTGACATCTTTGACCTGCAGGAGCAGGCGGATGGTACTTGGTGCAATTCTTGGTACTTGGTGCAATGGAATGGAGGGCACGAGGGACTCGCAGAAGGTCAGAGTCAGTTAAACAGAGGCAAGAGGCTGTGGGGTCAGCAGGTCGGAGAGGTAGAGATGGTGCCAGGGCACGAAGGGGTTTGAAGATGAGCGTGAGGATCTTGAAATTGAAATACCTCACAGAATATATTGTAGAGTGACTGTGTATTTTGTGGGCAAAACGAAGCAGCCAATATTAAATGCAAGTTGTTGAATTAATTTAACTCATAAAACACAGTATTAGCCGTGGCGGTTAAATGCTCAAACTTTTCAAGTGAGATCGCAATGTGTTTTGTAACACCAGTAGCCACGGAACGATGCCACAGTGTGTAACAAGCCTGCGTGATGTTTGCTCTGTAGATGATTCTTCTTCCGAACACCCAGAAGGGAAACGGGGACTTGAGGAGTTCAGCCAGAACCAGGAACAGGAGCAGCAGCAGGTCCTGAACATAACCCCCTCTAGTCCTCTCGCCGTAGAAGGTGAGTCATTGTCAGCAAGTGGCTATGGGGGGTTGGGGGCTACTGAATGCAAATTGGCCGCACATTTGCTTACAAAATACAATCGTTTTAAAGTAGTGTAAATTTTGTGAAATCTTGTCTTTTTTTATTGCTGGGGTCAGGAAATCCTCCCACTCAGCTCCGACAGGCCAAAGCCCCAACTAACGGGTAGGGTGGTCCTAGCCAACACGTAGGGATAGCTCTCCAGGTAGTGCTCTTAACGGTAAACCATATTAACTGGTTAAACACCCAGCAGTTTGTGGTATTTTCTCCAAAGCCGACTCTTCCTACAAAGAAACAGAAGCGGAAACTGGCACTGAAGAGTTCAGCCCCAACCAAGGACCGGAGCTGCCGAAGGAAGAGTGCCTTGAGCCTGAACTGCCCGCCCTACTCAGCAAAGAAGGTGAGTGATTGGTTGCTGCTTTTCCGGGGGTAATAACCCCTTCACAAAATGAATTAAATAATGTAATAATTTGGTCACTCAATCCACGGCTGTTTGTGGGGACGCTGCTGGGCGCAATTGGCTGCTGCGTTTAACCCACAAAATATACAGTCACTACACTTTGTAGTCTATTCTGTGAAGAGCTTTGAGACGAGTTGAAGATGTGATAAGGTGCAGGAAACAAATGCAAGGATTATTATTGTTATTATGAACCAGAACCTGGCAGTGAGAGAGATAGGACAGAGGAGACCATTACACAGCCATTTGATACGCTGTATGGGAAACTTTCGAGTGAGGTGCCAGCAGAGCAGGAGCACAGCACTCATCATTTGGGACTCAACCTCAGCATCTGGTGGCACTGGGTGTGCTGGGAGTCGAGGTGGAATGGGGCTGGCAAAGGCCTACCATAGCTTGAATAAGGGAGAGCTGGCAAGGGACATGTCAAGTGAGAACTGGAGTGGTATAATCGTGGATATGGTAGTTACAACAACAACAACATTACATTTATAGAGCACCTTTCACGTCGGGAGAATGTCCCAAAGTGCTGAACAGGCAGGTGTCGGGGCCCGAGCATGGGGGAGGGGTGGTGTAGGGGTGAGGGGTGGTGTAGGGGTGAGGGAAGGCAGATAGGTGGGAGGGAGATCAAAGGCACGGTCGAAGAGGAGGGTCTTGAGACCGGCCTTGAAGGAGGCAAGGGAGGAAGCGAGACGAACGGACTGTGGGATGGAGTTCCAGAGTGTGGGGGTGGAGAGGCTGAAAGCCTGGCCACCAATGGTAGGGCGGGTCGGACGGGAGACATGGAGCAGGCCGGAGCCCGCTGAACGGAGGGAGCGGGCAGGTTGGTAGGGAGTCAGCAGGTCAGAGAGGTAGGAGGGGACAAGGCCATGGATGGCCTTAAAGGTGAGGACGAGGATCTTGAACTCGGTCCTCTAGGGGATGGGGAGCCAGTGGAGTTGGGCGAGGGTGGGGGTGATGGGGTCACGGAGCCTGGTGCATGAGAGTACACGAGCTGCAGAGTTTTGGATGATCTGCAGCTTGTGAAGGGAAGAGTTACATTTATATAGCGCCTTTCAGGTATGGAGAACATCTCAGAACAGTTGGATTATTGGGGTATATTGCACATATACAGATTTGGATCACACAACTGTTCCACATTTATACACATGCCATTGCTGACTGTGATAAGTAACCCCTCATGTGGGGTAAAATGTACTTCTACCATTTGTATTCATGGAGATAATGATTGTCATTTAATTTACAGAAAAAGGAAGAAATCTCCAAGAAATGCTTCAGAACCTTGGTCTCCAGGACTTGTACACGCGTAAGCTATCCCTGAGTGAGGTTCTGGAGATTGGGCCCCAAACACTGGTCTGCACAAAGCCTCAATCCTTGCTCTGTGTTGCTGAGTACTTTCTAAAAAAGCTGATGATTCTCAGTTTGACAGCCAGAAATGTTAAGTGTACGGGAAGGGTTGGGAGAGGGGTAGGAACAAAAGGCTTCGAGGGATCATTATCCTCAGAAAGGCGCTCCGCCAATCGACTAACAACCGGGTTTCCGACTTACTGCTGGTAAACGGAGGCGGCTGTGTGCGGAGTGAGGAGAATTGCCCAACATTTCGCCCCGTCCGGGAAGAGAACCCGGGTCCTCTCGCTTGCGAGGCGAGTGCTCCAACCACTCAGCTCCAGGACTCCACATCGGGATCCACGACCACATTAATCAGCATTCACAGTTCTTTATTAACTGGTCACAAGGTTCCCCGATGTCGGAGGTGCTTTACAAACGTCATTTGTTGTTGCTTT